ATTATTTTATTTTATTCCGAGACTGCAGTAAAAGAGAAGATCTCATTTACAAAGGAGACACTCCACTCCAGACACAGGCAGGCTCTGACCACCCAGAAGTCAGCTTGTTTTTTAATTTTCATAACAAATGACCCTCTTGGTGAGACTTGCGATATGCACTATCGTAGGGGCAAATCCACACCACATACAAATTCTAATACAGTACCACTTTAACAGTCATTGTCCCCCTCTCACCCCAAGAATTCTGGGAAGTGTAGTTTGTTAAGGATGCTGAGAGTCATTAGGACAGGCATGGCCAAACTTGGCCCTCCAGATGTTTTGGGACTACAATTCCCATCATCCCTGACCACTGATCCTGTTAGCTAGGGATGATGGGAGTTGTAGTCCCAAAACAGCTGGAGGACCAAGTTTGGCCATGTCTGCATTAGGAAATCCCCTGCAGAACTACATTTCCCAGCACCCTTAAATTACATTCCTCAGGATTCTTCGTGGAAACCATAGCTGTTAAAGTGGTATAAGGCTGCTTTGAATTCATGGTTAGGATGTGACCTCGGTACCAACAATCTCCTGCTCTGTCTACAAGATGACACTCTTGTCCTTGTACTCTTGAGCTGCCATCAATCAGAGCAGGTAAGTGTAGTCTATTGTGGGAGAGAGGGTTATTGCTTTGATATGCTTTTGTCTTAACTATTTATTTGTGCCTTTCTCCTATATTTTTATCTTGTGAACCACACCAAGATCTTACGATGAAGGACGGTATATAAAATAAATAATAAATAAAATAAAATTACTAGACCAGTGTTTCCTAAACTTGGGTCTCCATCTGGTTTTGAACTACAATTCCCATCATCCCTGACCACCGGTCCTGCTAACTAGGAATGAAGGGAGTTGTAGTCCAAAAACAACTGGAGACCCAAGTTTGGGAAAACACTGGACTAGATGGAAAAAAACTATCTCCTGGTCTATCACAGCTTCCTGTGTTATCCAATTTAATTCATCCCAGAAGGAGCACCAGCTTCCTAATTTTGCACTTACAATAGGCAATTCTGAACAAGGATCCCAGTTCACAGACTATGGTACTCACCAAAACATGATGAGGAATGCGGACAAGGATGAATAGCAAGGATGATTCAAGAGAGAGAGAACAGTCAGAAAATGAAAGTGACATTTCCTGGCATATTTATAGATACAGATGCCTCATCAACAGGCCGTAGTCTCAGCTTGTGCAAGCTTTCAGAAGAGGCAGAATGCTTCATCAGACCAATGTCAAGGTGTTCTGTGCTGGCATATTCTTCTCTGCAACGAGCCCAGCTGCTAATTTACCAAAATTCATTAATTTTCCAAAATTGCCAAAAGCTTCCCAAAACACCTTGCTCAGACCAGAGAGAAAAAGCAGAGCTAACAATTCGGCAGAAACCTTTTTGTACGCAATATAAAACGGGAAGCTAGTTACTGGGTACGTCTTTGATGCAAAACTGGTAGGGCAACTCCGTACAGGGAAAATCCAGAAGAGGAGCATGCAATCTTTCAAGCAACACGGTGGCCTTTGTTGGGCAGTTAATAACAACTGCTTCCTCAGTGGCCCAGCTGTCCGAGTTTCGATGCAGCAACCCACCCCCCTCCGCTAGCAAATTCTTTCAGAACAAGGAAGGATGAATCGCAGAAAAGCAAAAATAACCCCCCCACACCTGCTTAGCCATTCAGGATCCAAACAGTGGATTCCTTGCTGCCGACGCCACCATTACAGGTGGATACCAATGGGCGGATTCCAAAACACGTGTGTGGTTGCAACAACAGAACCTGGGCGCTATTCCAGACAAACATGCAAGAGTGTGACCTTGCACATATTTGGTGTAAACATTCTGCCCTGTGCAAGATTCAGCACACAAGACGTGGGGTCCTGCCAGAATCACGCCATTTCCCCGAAACGTCGACACAAACTCTCCCCTTCTCGTCATTTGAACACATTGCTCCTTCTATAGTTCCCATTCCTTCAACTTTCCCAGACTACCACCCTCTCTTCTTGTTCCTCTATTCAAGAGCTCCTCTCCTACATTCATTAAACATCTGCCACGTCGGCAAACCTTACTTATTTACTTCCCCAAGCTCACACACCTGCCTGATCTTCCTAGTTTCTGCCACAGCCCTTCGGAATCCAGCCTTCCCTGAGGTCAGGGCACCTGGACCGTACAAACCAAATCTTTCTGTCTCCAAATCAACCTCACTCCCGTTATCCCCCAAGACATACACCCTACCCCAACTGCTGACTTCCCAAGCTCCTCAGGGCAGGGACCACTCTTCCTCAGGTTTTGTTTTTTAACTCGGCAAAGTACCATAAATCTCTAAATCATTATTTGGAATATGTTTCCCTGCAAAAAGCTCCAAGCAATGAACAGGTGTTGCCAGCTGAAGTTAGACTGTTCTTTTCTTTATAAACAACCACCACAACTCTATGCCCAACATAGAATCAGAGAACTGTAGACCACCAGAGTCAACTAGTCCAACCCCCTGAAATGCAGGAATCTTTTGCCCAACATGAGGCTCAAACCCATGACTCTGAGATTAAGGGTCTCATGCTCTATCAGCTGAGCTATCCCAGGGTTCTTAAACAGGCTAACTTTTTTTAAGTAAAAAACTAGATTTCTTGTAGTCAACTGACAGGTTTTCAAATGAAACCAGCAAGGCACACTTTGGATCTCTTTCAGCTAAGGTAAGGGTTGGGAACTTGATGCATGGGGGGGGCCGGCCCTCTAGGCCTCTCTGTCTGGCCCTTGGGACTCTTCCATGTCCTTCACCAGCCCTGGGCTGGGTGCTCCTTGAGCATCTGTGCCTGACTGGAATGGGTCTCCCAACTGTGATAATGCCTCCTGCTTACCTGAAGAGGAGCTGGATGCAGAAACCTCTGACTTTCCTGTAGCCCCACCCACACCTCACAAGTAGCCCCCAGCAGGTTGCTGACCCACCCCCAAATTAAGGCATAAGTTACGGTACTTTTCCTGAAGTGGTCTCAAGTATGTCCTTTAATCAGCCCCCCCTAGGCCCAAAGCTCTTTCTAAAAATCCTTACAACAGTGGTGCAGCCAAGCAGCTTTAGACTCTAAACCAGGCATCCCCAACCTTCGGCCCTCCAGATGTTTTGGACTACAATTCCCATCATCCCTGACCGCTGATCCTGTTAGCTAGGGATCATGGGAGTTGTAGGCCAAAACATCTGGAGGGCCACAGGTTGGGGATGCCTGCTCTAAACATAATGGATACAGGGCTTCTTTAGGTCTGATGATTTCACTTTCTTGAAAATGGGCTACATTTCTGAAAAATTTACCAGTGTGGTTGAGAAGCCTCGAGGTCGATCAGAAAAGGATCCTTTACCAATTTATTGATTGATTTCCCTATATTCAATATGTTCCAATCAAGCAAGGAAACCTCCTCACGCACATGGCTAGTTCTGGAGAGAGGAAAATTTCAGTATTTTCACTTGTGTTATTTACCGGTACATTGTTTGGAAATGTGTGGAATACTTCGGGTTCTTTACTTGTTTATATGTTGTGTGTATGTGTTTTTATACATTCATTCTGTTACTGGTTGTTGTTATATAAAAGCTAATTTTAAAAATGGGGGTGCTCTACTTTGTTTGGGGCCCCTCCTGCTCACCCCACCCCAAAGTCTTCCCCCGAAAGGTATCACTGCCCAACAACCAGCAAGCAAGCTACTCCCCCCACCTCAAAACTAGAAAGCCAACTTTGCTCGTACCCGCTGTGAATGGCTGAAGAGTCAAGGCACAACCCATCACAGAAGTGCCTCCCTGGATCACACCAAAGGCCCACATTTTGTCTACTCAGACGCAAGTCTCACTGTGTGCAATTTATCATTTACACTTTGCCTTTCCAGAAAATACCTAAACTGCCTTACCACGTGTGTCAAAACAGACAAAATATAATAAAAAAGCAAGTCTGGCACTGAGCTCGTCGTAAACAGCCTTTTAAAACAAACCCTGTAAAGCCCTGTTTAGTGGGGGAAATGTCGTAGTTCGGCAATAAGAGCATCTTGCTTTGTATGCAGAATCAGAGTTGGAAGGGGCTGCAAGGGTCATCTAGTCGAAACCCCTGTAATGCACGAATCTTTTGCCCAACACGAAGCTCAAACCCACAACCCTCAAACTAAGAGACTCGTGCTCTACTGACTGAGCTATCCTGCCCCTTCACTCCCCACTTGAACACACACACCCTAAGCCGCTGCTTGACAGTGTTTACAATGCAGACTAACGCTCCGACTTGGTACATTTCCCCCTAAGTGTGCGCAGGACTGCAGCATTGCAATCAGATACAGAAATGCCTTTGAACTGAGTGGGACTCTGGCTGCAAACACATCATACCTTTACAGCAGTCCTCCCCCCAGAATACTTGGAATTGTAGTTTAAGGGTGCTGGGCTGGGAATTGTAGCTCTGCAACGGGTCAACTACAACAGATTACATACCTTGAGGCACATGTGGTATAATTATATATAATGCATACAGTATAATTATATATAATGGATAGCCTGGGATGGGGCTATCTGATTGCAATCCTTTGCACACTGGCTTAGGGTAGATCAGTTTAAAAGCCTGCACTGGAAACCTAGCAAGCTAAGCCCCTCCTGGCCTTATCTACCCCAGCCTGTAAGTTTACTCCTGAGTAAGCATGCCTAGCAGCGAGCATTTAGGAGTCTGGCATAGCTTTCCTTTTGTTCTAAGATATGCACCCTATTCTTTCTTCCTTTTTTAAAGTTTTGGCATATATATATTTTTTTAATGTTGCACTTTGTTGTACCCATCAGCTGGCTTTGAACCGCAAGTTATGTGAATTAGTGGATTCTCATTTTTGTAGACCGCCCTGAACTCTTTGGTGCAAAAGGCAGTTAAAGGGCATTTTAAGCAAACTTTCCCCCCCATTTCCTCCCCCCTCCCTTCAGATCTCTCTCCCTCTTTCACACACACACACACACACACACACACACACACACACCTGTTGCGTCTCGCCATCTCTCCGGCTCCCTTCCAGAGCGCGTTCCACCGTCTCCCTTTGTGTCTCCCGCAGGAGATCCAGCTCGAAGATCCCGGCCAGGCTGGCTTGGAGGCGCTCCCCGATCCTCAGCCGCTCGTTCCCGGACCACAGCGACGGGGGCACTGCTCTGCGGCCGGCCATGGCCCCCCCGAGGCGCGGCTTTCTAAATCCCCGGGCTCCTGTCCCTTTTGGAGAGATCGCCTCTCATGCGCCCGCAGCTTTGGGGGAGGGAACGAGGAGCGGTAGATCCCTACTAGAGGCAAGGATCGGAGGGGCCACCGCAATTTGGGGTGGTCGAGGAAGGTGGGGGGATCGCAAGCAAAGCAGCGCCAGAAGCGTGTCGTGGGGGAGGGAAGCACCGGCTTCGCACGCGCCACCAACTCCAGGGCGCGCAAGACGCCGCCGGACTCGGACGATCGCAAAGGAGCGACCCGCAGTTCAGACAAAGGGGAAGGTTTTGAAAGTGTCACGTGGAGACAGGTTGCCTTCTCTCTCTCTTCTCTCTCTCCTCCCCCTTTCCCTCCCAATCAACTTGCCGGCTTCCGATTGGCCCGAGCGAGAGGCAGGAGGGGAGGGGACCCGCGCGCGCCCACGCCGGACGCCAACATTTCCAAAGAGCGAAAAGTTCGGAAAGTTTCTGGCTCGGATTTGAAAGGGACGCCAGATGGCCCCCAACTCAGCTGCAATGCTATGCACGCTTCAGCCCGGGAGCAGGAGGCCCATGGAATTCAGTAGCGCTTGCTTCTTTTAGAAGGCACGAGGATGAAAAAAAGGGCCGCTTACCGAGGTGGTTTTATCGCCTCTCCCCCTCCCCAAATAAGATTTATTAATAGTATATACAGATAATCCCCTTCATGGATCACTGCCTATCCATTCTGAAGGAAATCAGCCCTCAGGGCCCCTGAGTGCTCACTGGAAGGACAGATCCTGAAGCTGAGGCTCCAAGACTTGGCCACCTCATGAGAAGAGAAGACTCCCTGGAAAAGACCCTGATGTTGGGAAAGATGGAGGGCACAAGGAGAAGGGGACGACAGAGGACGAGATGGTTGGACAGTGTTCTCGAAGCTACAAACATGAGTCTGACCAAACTGCGGGAGGCAGTGGAAGACAGGAGTGCCTGGCGCGCTCTGGTCCAGGGGGTCACGAAGAGTCGGACACGACTAAACAACAATATACCGATAATATGCTTTATATTATCTGTTGGTAATAAATATTAATTATTGGTTTTATTTTTTGCAATAATTATTAATCGGTGTCATTATTAACAACTAAACGGTCATGATTAATGATCATTAGTTCACTGTGCCTGGCAGTGGCGTAGCGTGGGTTGTCAGCACCAGGGGCAAGGCAAGTAATTTGCGCCCCCTAACCCATGGATTTGCGCCCCCTAACCTGTGGATTTGCCCTAACCCCAGATGTTGCGCCCGGTGCGGCCGGCCCCCCCTGCCCCCCCACGGTACGCCACTGGTGCCTGGTGTTTTGCAGAATACAAAGAGGCCCCTGCCCACAGGAACTTCAATTCCTAAACTATCAACAGCAGGGATGGGGAGACAGGGAAAACTGGAGTGGATATTACAGATAAATATGTTTATTTTCATCCCAACAGCCTCTCCAGTCTTGCTGGGTAGCCTTCTTGTAACAATAGCAATGGAGATCAACAGCAATGGGGACCAGCCACTTCACTATAGGTTCTGATCAGATTCAGTACATTTAAAAAGAAAATAAAAATAAGTTCACTTAAGTCCATACACGGATCAGCCAAGTGTGCTGAGCCATAGCTGCCCATTTGTGGCTGGAAGAGTTCAAGTGTCCTTTTCCTTAACTGCAAGAGAGACGAAAGTACACCAGGTGTTTTTTTAATTCATCTGCTCCTGTTTCATTTTGTAAGTTGACGTGTCAGTTTCTCCATCAATGCTGTCTCTTGATGAAAAAGGTTTGTTGAATGAGATTTCCAGTTTTTCACAATAACTCGTTGCACTTGCTATAAGGAGAAAAGCTGTAAGATCTTTAAACATAGCTTTTGGTGGTTGCTCATTGAAGTAATAACATTTGATTTCCTAAATCTTGTAAAACCCTTTAAAACAGCCTCTTGCCTCTTCCTGCAAAATTACTTTGCATACTTAATTAAGATGTGATAGATTTCTATTTCCCCCTTAAGCCAGATTCAGTCTCATTATCCCCCCCCCCCACTTGTCACTTGTATTTAGCTAGGAGTTATTTCTGCAAAGTCACAGTTTGAGAGTCATAAAACCTTGGCCTTGTAGCGCATTCCTAAGCCCAGGGGCAAAAATTGCATGGTACAGATAAGGACTTCAATAAAAGGCTAGTGGAGTGCTGAATTTCCTGCTAATGTCATAAATGAATGAAAAAAATAATCTGAAATTGTTGTGATCCTACCAGATGACTTCACTGCTTGACTCATGCTTTTACTGGAAGAACATAAGAAGAGCCCAGCAGGATCAGGCCAGTGGCCCATTTAGTCCAGTATCCTGTCCAAGCAGGAACCGAGTGCAAAACCACTCTCCCCACTTGTTTTTTTTTTGTTTTGTCCCCCCCCTATTTTATTAAATTTGCTTAGTAACATAACATTATTATATATATTCTATAAAACAAAGAATACAGAACAAAATTCATTCATACTACAATGCCTAACTACATAACATTAATATATTGGTTTCTGAAAAAAAGGCTTACATAACAAAATCAATTCAAAATACCGTCCGGTTTACTTCTCCCTTCCCCCCATCCCTCCCCACTCCAGCCCTCCCCGCCCCCGGTCAGGCCTTCCTTCTTCATATTTTTATCCATGTACACAGTCTGTTCATTCGAGCTTGTATGCTAGGGTTGGCTTCCCCTCTTTCTATCCAGTTCCTGTAAAATGCCCATTTATTTGTGATTCTTTGGCATTTACGGTATTTTCCCATCTATCCTCTGCCACTATCTGTGCGAATATTTCTGATTGTACGTATTCAAAAACATAATCATTCCATTTTTCCCTATTCCATTTGGCCTTTTCTTTCCATCCCAAAGCAATAACTGCCATTCCAGCTAGACACTCTCCCCACTTGTGATTCCAAGCAACTGGTATTCAGAGACATCTTGCCTCTGACAGTGGAGGGAGAACATCACCATCCTGGCTAGTAGCCATTGATGGCTTTCGCCTCCATTAATTTGTCTAATCCTCTTTTAAAGCCATCTCAGTCGGTGGCCATCACTACCTCCTAAGGGAGAAAATTCCGCCATTTAGCTGCATGCTGTGTGAAGCAGGCCTTGCTTTTGTCTTTCCTGAATCGTCCAACTCGTTCAGCTTCATCCGAAGTTCCCGGTACTCACCTCCGACCTGTTAACCTGCCATTGTTAACCTAAGGAGCAAACAAAGCCCAGCTTTTGTCTGCTTAAGCTCAGGAGAACACAAAACATCCTGCTCAGATGAGGACCACGCTGACCCAAGAAACTAAAGAAAAGGGCTTCAGTGATGAGCCAACATGAGAAGCCTTGTTTTTGAAGTTTAAAAGGAAGAGGCCGGAAAGATATTAATCCAAAATCAGGGTTGAGAATTTGGAAAGACTGAAGCACAGTTTCTTGCTGAGCCATCATGTAATATTCAACACAGAGTGATGCAAATAAAAATGGATTTCATAGTACTGTATAACTTTGGGTGGATCTGCTGGGATGGAGAGGGTCAGACTATAGGACAGACTATAGTGGAGGGCAGCCCACAGCAGTGAAAATAACTTCCACCAGAACTCCATTTGCCCACCCATGGACAGCGTGGCAAGTGAAAGTCGTGATTGCCAATGATCCCACTAGCGTAATAGCAAAAAAGGAGCATGCACCCTTCACTTAAAAACTATGCTTGGTTGCTTTGGGACTATTGTCGCTACACATTCCTGGATCCTTGCAGCCAACACTGGCTTGTGCCACGTCACTGTGGTGTAGTGGTTAGAGCAGTGTTCCCCAACCTTGGGCCTCCAGCTGTTTTTGGACTACAATTCCCATCATCCTTGACCACTGGTCTTGCTAGCGAGGGATGATGGGAGTTGTAGTCCAAAAACAGCTGGAGGCCCAAGGTTGGGGAACACTGGGTTAGAGTATCAGACTAGGACCTGGGAGACCAGGGTTTGACCCACTGGGCCGTGACGCTCGCTGGGTGACCTTGGGCCAGTTAGTGCCTCTAAGCCTAACCGACTTCACAGGGTTGTTGCGGGGATTAGTTGAGCAGAAGATCCATGTATGCCACCTTGGGGGGGCGGGGAGAGAAAGTAGGAAATAATTGCAATAAATCAGGCATAGGCAAACTTGGCCCTCCAGCTGTTTTGGGACTACAACTCCCATCATCCCTAGCTAACAGGACCAGTGGTCAGGGATGATGGGAATTGTCCCAAAACATCTGGAGGGCAGAATTTGCCTATGCCTGCAATAAATAAATGCTAACATAAAAATACAGCACATTCACTTGATGCACAGTTGCTTTTGCTGCCTTTACCTCAAAACCCCAACACTTTGCATTCACCTGTTATACAACAGGTGCTGATGACCCTAGCACAGAGCTCCCCCCCCCACACTTTTTTGGAGCAGCAGTACCCCACACAGCACCACTGCTTTGTCTAGCAGCAGGTAGAGGACTTTCTCCTTGTCCTGCCTGGAGATGGGAGACTCGACTTGAGATCTTCTGCACACAAAGCAGATGTTCCAGCACTGAGCTACAAGCCCTTCCCAAAGAGAAATACAAGAAGCTGCCTTGTACCTATCTGTCCACCTAGCTTGGTATGGTCTACACTGATTGGCAGCAGCTCTCCAGGATTTCAGACAGCCCTATGTGGAGACTGGGCTTGTGACCTCCTGGATGCAAAACAGATGTTCTACCACTAAACTATGGCTCTTCCCCAAATTTCAACAAAGCATCCACAAAGGGCAAAAATAGGGTAAAAAAAAAAGGCAGCGATTCTCTCACCTCCCACCCCCTTCTCTGGATAATACAGATAGTTGGAGCTTTATGCATTAAATGTGAAGCTGGTATCCTCCGATGGCTGTGAATTCTTTGTTAAGCAAGAACATGCACAGGAATAATGGGACTGTGCTGAATAATAGTAACAGCCTGGAGCTATTTACTGAGAGTGAAGTCAGCTGCTAGGATTGTATAAATTCCTTCCCATCTCTTGTCCAAAGGACACATTCATCTGACCCACAAGAGGGGTTCCTAGAACAACAACAACGTGATTCCTGTACTTCTAACTGCGACTGAAATTGGAGGGGAACTGCCAATGATGGCTTATACCGTATTGGAATAAAATAAATTACGAAAATAAAAAAGGCCCAGGACCAGAGAGAAAGACGGCAATCGTCATCCCCATTCATGTTTGGGCCCAGGAAAAAGGGCTTAACTCGAACTGGGTTTGAGACCTGACCTCATTCCCCATATTGATCTGGCTCAGCAATAGAGGATATTAGCTGTGCCTCTGAGCATAAACTACAAAATGGGTCCCATGTTTAAACAAAAAGCCCAGCTTAGGGTAATGCCCCATCTAAATTTATATCAGCAGATCCCCTATAAGATTTACAGTGGTACCTTCGGTTACATATGCTTCAGGTTACATATGCTTCAGGTTACAGACTCTGCTAACCCAGAAATAATACCTCTGGTTAAGAACTTTACCTCAGGATGAGAACAGAAATCGTGCTCCGGCGGCATGGCGGCAGCAGGAGGCCCCATTAGCTAAAGTGGTGCTTCAGGTTAAGAACAGTTTCAGGTTAAGAATGGACCCCACAAACAAATTAAGTATTTAACCTGAGGTACCACTGTAATTTAATATACAGTGGATTTGGCTTTGATTTCATGGTTGTTGTAGCTGTGGTGCAGCTAAAGTAGACTTTATACCTAACTTCTGGAATTGCGCCCAATTAATTAAAGTGAAAACAAATGGTACATAGTATTATATTGGATATGCTAGGAAGCCATATACCTTTGGAACCAACTAAGTTATTTCAAAGATGTTATCTCAGAAAGTGATCAAGAAGTGTTAATTAACCTTATGGGGATGCAAAGGTAATGATTGTAAAGAATTAGAAAAACAACGTACCTCCTACTGAGTGTGAATGGATGGAAAAGATCTGGTTCATTGTGATGGTGATCAAATAACCTACTGCAAATCTACAATAAAACAACCTACATTTAAATCAACTGGTTAAGTTTATGGAGCGATTCCCCTTCTCCAATGTCCTGGAATAATAAATTCAGTGACAACATACAACTTTGTAAGTCTTTAATTTATTGTAATGTCATCAGCCTATTTTAATGTTATCGCGGTATGTAGTTAGCTTTTTTTTGTTGGCTCTTTCTTGTTGATAAAGGTAAAGGGACCCCTGACCGTTAGGTCCAGTCAAGGACGACTCTGGGGTTGCGGCGCTCATCTCGCTTTATTGGCGTACAGCTTCCGGGTCATGTGGCGAGCATGACTAAGGTTCTGGCGAACCAGAGCAGCGCACGGAAACGCCGTTTACCTTTCCGCCGGAGCGGTACCTATCAGTGGCATAGCGTAGGGGGTGCAGGGGGGGCCGGCCGCACCGGGTGCAACATCTGGGGGGGCGCGCTCGCACTCACAGCTCTCTGCACCCTGCTAAAATCCACGGGTTAGGGGGCACAAATTACTTGCCTTGCCCTGGGTGCTGACAACCCACGCTACGCCACTGGTACCTATTTATCTACTTGCACTTTGACAGGCTTTCGAACTGCTAGGTTGGCAGGAGCAGGGACCGAGCAACGGGAGCTCACACCGTCACAGGGATTCGAACCGCCGACCTTCTGATCAGCAAGCCCTAGGCTCAGTGGTTTAGACCATAGTGCCACCCGCGTCCCCTTCTTGTTGATGTGATGATCTAGAATAGAAATGATGAAAACAGCAATTACGAAAACAGACACACACCAGGGTTGGCATGAACTGCACTTCGCAAAGTTCCCTGGGAGAACGGTAGCTCTGTGAGGGGAACATGGAGTCACCTAATAACTCTCAACACCCTTGAGAAACTACAGTTCCCATATTTTTTTTGTTTGGGGGGGGAATGCTATTTAAAGTGGCATGGCGCTACTTTGAGTGTGTAATGCAAATGGGCCTTAGAGGTAGCACAGTGCAGCAGTTAAGAGTACAGTGGTACCTCTGGTTACATACGCTTCAGGTTACAGACTCCGCTAACCAGAAACAGTGCTTCAGGTTAAGAACTTTGCTTCAGGATAAGAACAGAAATTGGGCTCTGGTGGCGCAGCAGCAGCAGGAGGCCCCATTAGCTAAAGTGGTGCTTCAGGTTAAGAACAGTTTCAGGTTAAGAACGGACCTCCGGAACGAATTAAGTACCGGAACTTAACCCGAGGTACCACTGTGCAGCCTGGGAGACCAGAATTCAAATCTCCGCTCTGCCACAAAGTGACTTTGGACCAGACTCACTCTCTCATTAACCTACCTAATGTATATACATCACCTTTTTAAAATACTTTTTATTTATTTTCCATTTAATAATATACATTCACATCATTATTATCCACTTTACCTCCCTGGCTCTTTAGAGCCTATCAACTTCCTTCCCTCCAGCTCATGGCTTTCATAATTAACCTTTATATCATTGCATTTGTAAGTTTTCCAATTCTAATTACACCCATTACAAAATAACTCAAAATTAAAAAAAAATATAGAAAGGTAGAAAACTTCTCCTTACAAGTCTTAAGATAACCCTGCTAGTGATGTTAATTGCTTACAATAATCTTTCAGATATCGTATAAATTTACTGCAGTCCTTTTGGAATAATTGATCGTGCTGGTTTCGGATTTTTCCTGTCAGCTTTGCCAGTTCTGCGAAGTCCATCATCTTCATCTGCCACTCTTCTTTCCTTGGTGCTCCTTTTTGTGTCCATTTTTGGGCTGAAAGAATTCTTGCCGCAGTTGTTGCATACATAAACAGTTTTTATCTTCCCTTCGTATCTCTTCACCCACCATACACAATAAAAAGGCTTCTGTTTTTTAAACGATTTTCTTTAAATATTTTCTTTAACTCAGTATATACCTCACCTTGAGCTGCTGGGTGGAAAGGTGAGTTAGAAAGACAAAAAAGAAACAGAAAAACATTTCAGATGGTTGGAGGAGGGGGAGCTTAAGAAAGCAGCTTGACCTAATGCCATCGAATAATTGAGATTTCCCGAGTACACAGCTCAACCGTAAACCAACACCTACCCATCTATTACGCAGAAAAGTCCTTCCTCGGTGTTGGGAAATTGCACTCACCTGTCCCAGCTGACATGGGTAGGCGACACCTCCGCTACAAACTTTGTCCAACTCCTTCCTTCCTTCCACGCGAGTAGTCAAGACTGCGTCCCGTGGCGGTGCGTTCCGCCGGCCAACTCCACCATTGTGGCCAAATGCGCTTCCTCTATGGAGACCCGCCCCTGATCTGAATGTGGGCGAGTCTCAGGGTGGGCTCTCCCCACCCTCCACCTCTCCACGTCCTTCCCCGGACCTTGGAGGTCCTGATCCTGGAAGCAAATTGGGAAAATTTGAGGCGTGACTCTGGCACTATTTAAGCGGCTCCAAAGGAGTCAAGTCAGAGCTATCGCTGGGGACGATTCTTCTTCAATTCCCCTTCCCGCCCCAGCTTTATTTCCCCCCTTCCCTTTTTAAGAAAAAGGTGTGGTTCCTTCCAAGATGGATTCTTTCCCCCCATTCAAGCACCGAAAAACCTTCGGTAAGACTTATTTTCTTTCTCCCCACTTATTCCCCCCACCCCCCCTTCTCGTGTAAACGCTCGATTTCGCGATTCGGAGTTGCTCCTGTTTGGCTGCTAGCGCCCCCTGCTGGCCCAAGGGGCTGAGATTAATTCGGTAAACTGGGGTGGGGGGCTAGACTTTGGGCTGTCCTGCTTTGGGGAGAGCTAATTTTGGGAGGGGAGGCCGAGGGAGAGGTGTTTTTCCCCTATTGCCTTAATTGACCCAGTTCTGTAATTTTCCACTTTAGCCTCCAGGAAAAGTGAAGTGGCCACGATCCGGATGAAGTTTCCTGGCAAACTGCCGGTATGTAGGTTTCTCCTTATCTTGTTGGGTTAATAGGTATGGGGGCATGTTTATTTGGGCTTGCTTTGTTGTACTGGACTGTTTTGCATGTTAAAAGTAAGCTGGGCTATGGTTCAGCGAGTGTTTGTGTACAATGCTAAACAAACCATGGTTCAGAGAAATTAAGTAAGGCAGTTATGGGCAGTGCTTTCCCCCCCCTAAAAAAATGTTTAGGGGTACTCTCATTTTGACTCAGGAAAACCACTGTTTTATTGTTCAAATCAGGAAAAATAAATACAGTAGATGGACAAAAGTACGAAGATTCACAAAATGTTTAGAGGTATGCGTACTCCTGCGTACCCCCAGAAAAAAGCACTGTATTTAGAGTAAAAGCGGGGGCTGTTTTGCTCCTGGTTCTGTGCTTGATACCCAGCCCATCGTGTTGTTACATTTATGCTTAGTTAATTTAAAAATAATTAAGATTCCTTACGTGTTCCTAGGCTTGTAGTTTGTTTGGCTCCCAACAACCAGTAATTCTAATCATGATTTGTTGTTCTTGGTTCACTATTTTGTTCGGGGAAGACAAACCATGAACTTGGGTTCACACATAGTGCTAAGCCAAACCATGGTTTACCTAGTAGCGCAAGAGGACCAAAGCAGCTGTAATTGGTGGTTTGGCTGCCTGCACGCTTGCTTGCCATTGCTAAATCAATTAAGTCAAGTAATATATCAATGTAAGTGAGAGAAATTCTCATTTTGTTTATTTTCTCCATATATAACCCTCCCTCAATCTTCCTGTTCATGCAACAAATATTTTTCTTTTTATAGGATTGTAACTGAGCTTAAGTGAAACATTCCTAACTCCCAGCTGATGCAGTTTCCCAAAAAATAGATGGTTATCGGGAAATCTTAAAACTATTATTTAGCCCCATATTGCAACCAAAAAACCCCCACCCAGAACCCTCACCAATAAAATCACATCCATGCTCCTAAAATAAGATGTTGCACCCCTGCAGATTATTATTATTGATTGAATTTATTATTAATTGAATTTTGTTCAAAGATTAAAATCAAGATATAAAACCACAAAATACATAATACTAAAAACAACCACCCAATGGCCCCCGCCAAAAAACACACACACATTTTAAAAGGGCATAAGATGTAAATCAGATCAACTAAAAGCCTGGTTAAAAAGGAACGTTTTTGCCTGGCGCCGAAGGATGTATAATGAAGGTGCCAGGCAAACTTCCCTGGGGAGAGCCAGTGTGGTATAGTGGTTAAGAGCAGTAGTCTTGCAATCTGGGGAACCGGGTTCGCGTCTCCGCTCCTCCACATGCAGCTGCTGGGTGACCTTGGGCCAGTCACACTTCTTTGAAGTCTCTCAGCCCCACTCACCTCACAGAGTGTTGTGGGGGAGGAAGGGAAAGGAGAATGTGAGCCGCTTTGAGACTCCTTAAAGGAAGTGAAAGGCGGGATATCAAATCCAATCTCTTCTCTTCTTCTTCTTCTTCCATGGACGGGGGGCCACTGCAGAGAAGGCCCCGTTCTCGTGTTGCCACCTTCTGGACCTTTCGAGGAGGAGGCACACAAAGAAGGGCCTCCAAAGATCCATATGGACATCTCAGGGTCCATATGGAAAGAGGTGGTCCTTGAGGCATTGCGGTCTTGAGCCGTTTAAGGCTTTATAGGTCAAAACCAGCACTTTGAATTGGGCCCGAAAAATAATTGGTAGCCAGTACCGTCTGACCAGGATCGGTGTAATATGCTCAAACTATCTTGCTGCGGTGAGCAATCTGGCCACTGAATTCTGCACCAGTTGAAGTTTCCAAATTGTCTTCAGAGGCAGCCCTACGTATAATGCGTTGCAGTAATCTAACCTTGAGGTTAGGGACGCGGGTGGCGCTGTGGGTTAAACCACAGAGCCTAGGGCTTGCCAATCAGAAGGTCGGCGGTTCAAATCCCCGCGACGGGGTGAGCTCCCGTTGCTCGGTCCCTGCTCCTGCCAACCTAGCAGTTCGAAAGCACATCAAAGTGCAAGTAGATAAATAGGTACCGCTCCGGCGGGAAGGTAAACGGTGTTTCCGTGCGCTGCTCTGGTTCGCCAGAAGTGGCTTAGTCATGCTGGCCACATGACCCCTCAGCCAATAAAGCGACATGAGCACCGCAACCCCAGAGTCGGACACAATTGGACCTAATGGTCAGGGGTCCCTTTACCTTTACCTAACCTTGAGGTTTCCAGAGCATAGACCACAGTAGTTAGTCAGGGGTCAGCAAACTTTTTCAGCAGGGGGCTAGTCCACTGTCCCTCAGACCTTGTGGGGGGCCGGACTATATTTTGAAGGGGGGAAAGGAACAAATTCCTATGCCCCACAAATACTGTAACCCCAAGATGCATTTTAAATAAAAGGACACGTTCTACTCATGTAAAAACACGCTGATTCCCGGACCGTCCATGGGCCGGATTGAGAAGGCGATTGGGCCGCATCCAGCCCCCGGGCCTTAGTTAGCCTACCCATGAGTTAGGCTATCCCTGTCCACATAGGGGCATAGCTGGGCCACCAGCCGAGGCTGTTGGAAGGCACTCCAGGTCACTGAGGCCACCTGAGCCTTGAGTGACAGCAAAAGATCCAGGAGTACCCCCAGGCTACGAACCTGCTCCTTCAGAGGAAGTGTCACCCCATCAATCTCCCCCCACATCTGGTCTAGGGAACCACCCACAAGCAATGCCTCTGCATTATCTGGACTGAGTCTCCGTTTGTTGGCTCTCCTCCAGTCCATTCCCGAGGCAAGACACTGGTCCAGCAATGAACAGATGAGTCAGGCAAATCAGCAGCAGGCTGATAAACCAGTGGCTATTGGCCATAATGGTGACAAGTAGAGCCTTCCTGTACAAAGACAGTCTATCTGAGTCCTTGGACAAATTGGAAACGGCTGTCTTCGCTTGTAACCATTTTGCTTAATCTTCCCAGGGGAATCTGGCCGTCTGCTATTGAAGATCAATCTCAGACGTGGCTCTTCTTCCTTTGCAGATAATCCTGGAGCGCTACCCCAAGGAGAAAATGTTGCCAGCCTTGGACAAGACCAAGTTTCTGGTTCCTGAAGACCTCACCATGGGCCAGTTCATCACAATCATCCGGTGAATGAGCCTCCGAGGAGACTGGGCAGCCTGTAAAAATGGGAGGCTTACTAAGCATCTGGCTGGGTCGCTCATCCTTCTACAACCATATGTTGGGCTGGATTTAAGCAGCGACTATGTTAATTGGATTTTTAATGCTCTGGCTTGGTGTGTGTGTGAGTGGGGGAGAAATATTATTATATTGGCACACAGGGAATTAGGCTTGGAGGGGCAGTAGCAGCTGGGGCTGGTGGGGCGGAAGGCATGGAGGCGGAGCTATAGCCAATGACAGCCAGGGCTGGAGCCAATCGTAGGCGGAGCCAGCTTCCAATTGGTTGGAAGTCAGAAGTTGGGCAGGTGTGGGCAAACTCAGGGCAGCGCACCATGCACCCTAATGGACCAGACTCCACTGTTTTGGGGCAGGTGAGGATGCAGAATTTGTTTAGGCCACCCGGAAGCCATGTTTTGACTCGTGCCCGTTTTCTCCCTCAGCAACCGAATGTGCATCGGGTCCACTCAGGCATTCTACTTCCTGGTTGACGGCAACTGCAGCCTCGTCAGCATGTCTTCCACCATGTCTGAAGTGTACATGACGTACAAAGATGAAGATGGCTTCCTCTATATGACCTATGCCTCTCAGGAGATGTTCGGCTGATGGCAAATGGGTCGCCTTCCTTTGGATCCCAAGTTCCTTGTTTATTTTGTCTGGGAGATGTGATCACCTGCATTTTGGACACCACCTACCTCTTCTTTCTCCCCACCCCACCAGATGATGGTTTTCTTGGAACGTAGCTTTTGATCTACCGAAACTCACCCCCACCTCCTTGCAGTTGCCCCGGTATCTCAACCTCCTTGAGAAAGAGGTACCCCACAAACCGCACCTTTCTTAGTACCGCCAAGGCATGGCCTTCCTAAGCACGCACTACGTCAAAGTCCTTCCCGGCCTTCGCTTCTGCTCCCAGGTTGATACAGTAGGAGACTGCTTTGATGGTCAGGGATGGGCATGAACCAGTGACCTTCCCAATGTTGGGCTCCCAACTCTCATCAGCCTGGCTCAACGGTCAGGATGGCAGGAGATGTAGTTCAGCAACACCAGGAAGCAACACCCTCTCCTTCAATTCGGAGGTGGTGGCTGGTTATATTATTGCTCCCCTCCCATACTCCCCATTACCAAGTCCATAAACGGAGATGGCCTCCGATACTCTTTCTTTTGACACCCAGGGATGATGGCTCCAGGGGTAGCCTGTGTGGTGAGGGTTTTGCCCGCTGGAATGAGATCATCTCTTGGATCTCCTGTGGCAGATGGGCCAGTGCAGCCTTCTTTTTCATGGCCCAACCACAAGGTTTCATGTGCAGAGGTGAAGGGGATCTGTTTTTTTCTATTTAATTGCAAGTATTAAGACTTCTGAAAAAGGGAACAGTGGAACAACTGGGTTTAAAATGTAAAATTACGGTTTACTGTAACAGGGGGGAAATGTCACTTTGTTCAACACTTCAATTACTTTGTACCTTGCATGTTAAATCTACTACTCTTGAGTAGAAAATACAGTTTGAAAACATGTTTTGCCTGCCAAAATCTGCTTTTGTGGGGGATGGCACTCTTCTCTTCCCCATACACCTCTGTTTCCTAAATGACATAATTGGCATCAAGGTATTCTGCATCAAGCCTGATTCAGACTCTTGGAGATCTCAAGAAGATGGATGAAAGCAAAGGACTCTTTGCTTAAGATCAGCTCTGCAGAACCCCAGCTGCGTCCTGACCCTTGCCCCCTTCCCTGCCATCCAACTGGAAATCGCTGGTTAGTCTTGGGGGACTCCTTGCATGATTTCTCTGCCTATTGTAGCACTGGTAATGTGTCAATCTAGATACCGTGTGATTTTTAATTGTACGGTTATTGCGTCTTTTATTTCTTACACTGTATTAGTTTGCATCCTGTAGACGTCAAACTGCACTTCAGTAAAATGCAATGTAAGAAGTTAAAGAAGTAATAAAAATACTACTTAAAATGAATGTTGGTATTTAATGTACAGTGGTGCCCTGCAAGACGAATGCCTCGCAAGACGAAAAACCCGCTAGACGAAAGGGTTTTCCGTTGCGGAGGCGCTTCGCAAGACGAATTTCCCTATGGGCTTGCTTCGCAAGACAAAAACGTCTTGCGAGTCTCGCCATTTCCCCCCCCGCTTCCCCCCCTTTTTCAAAGCCGCTAAGCCGTTAATAGCCTTTTAACAGCTTATCCGCTAAGCCTTTAATAGCCGCTAAATCGCTAATAGCGCTAATCTGCTTAGCCGCTAATGGGGTTGCTTCGCAAGACGAAAAAACCACTAGACGAAGAGAACCGCGGAACGGATTCTTTTCGTCTTGCGAGGCACCACTGTAGCTATGCCACAGACCACAATTTGGGAATCCCTAGCCTTAGAGGAGAGAAAACCCCCTACCCACAAACCCCCACACCCATCCACACCCCAAAATCACAGAAGAGAGAATACTGGAGCACTTGATGCCTGGTTTTTTTTACTGTTAAATGGGTATCCTTGGCAGTGAGGCTGCTTTGTAGCTGCTTATAAGAACAAACAGGTTGGAGAAACACATTTCACAGTGGGAGGGTTGGCAAGTTCTGGGAGGAAGGTTGAGGCTGGCAGTGGCTGCTCTGAAGTGAGCAGGCTTGAAAACGGGAAAGAGCGTCGGAAGTGGCTCGGAAGTGGGAAAAGTTAAAATCTCACCTGCGCTGTGCATGACCCTGGCAGGCCCCATCTCTCAGCCGTTGATCTTTGTCTGCAAAATGGGAGCATGTCAAAACAGGGATGCAGCTTGGTGGGGGTCTGTGCACTGCCTGCTTTAGACAGGGCTAGTGCCTATCTGGGACTATAATATAATTTATTCCTTCTACCCCACCCACCTGACGGGGTTGCCCCAGCCACTCTGGGCAGCTTCCAGCATAATAAACACACACAAAAAAAGTCAAACATGGAAAACTTCCGGATACAGGGCTGCCTTGTAGGATGGAAGGCAGGGAAACCAACAGCAGGTGGCGCCAGAGCCAATGACAGACAGAGCAACCCCTGGTCTGATGGTAAGCAGAAGGCAGAGCCATGGGGGCGCGCTAAAGTCAGGCATGAGGTTGGCGGGACTGTGCCCTACTTTCCCTCGCATCAGCCTCCACTGTTTTAGACTGTCATGACATCCAACGTGTCACAAAGAGGGGGGCAGGGGGGCTGTTTTGAAAAGGAATACTCTGCCCACTTCTCCCAATGAGTCCCACCTGCACTGCATGATGGGATAGAGTCAGAACCATGCCTTTCAACATAGTCTTCCTCCCGGGCGCTTCTCCCCCTATGCAATCTTTTTCTGTGCATCCAGGAGGGCTAGAAGCCTGTTCCCATCCCCCCTGCTGTCCTCTCAAGTGAAATTCTGATTTGCAACAACTGTCAGGAACCTTTCAGACCTTTCCTCCCACAAAACAGAATGTCCTCTAGGCAGCTATACCTAGAGCTCAAGCTTAAATACCGCTCCAACTTCATATTAAACCTGCCGCCACGAGTTTGTACATAAATAAATACTGGAGTGGGAGGACGAACCCCTTCCCCAGTTCATTTTACGTTTGGTGCGGCTTCTTCCAAACGATGCACAAGGGTGACCCGGGTGCAAACCCAACTTCCCAACAATTCACCTCGTGGAAAAACAAACAAGAAATTCTCAAGGGCAAGGTGGGGAAATGATTTGGAAGCCAGGAGGGAAGGTTGAACCTGATAGGATGAGCCCCACATCATTGGCTCGGGCAGTTAGGGCTCTTCTCTGCCTCCTGGCTTCTGCACAATGTTTTACAAAAGGGACGGGGTTTTTTTGTCCTTGCATGTTGGGAACCGTCCGTCTGCTCGGTCGTGAACCACCTGCCCCATGGCCCAAACTGGGCGGGGGTATAGGCCCCCTACGAAGGGTTCTCAACATCCTGTTTGCAACGCTTGGCTGCCAGGTCCTCGTTGTGGGCCTTGCGGATGTGCCGGTAAAGGTCTCCGGACTGCGTGTAACTCCGCATGCAGTAGCGGCACTCGTAGGGGCGTTCCCGCGTGTGGACGGTGGCGTGGCGCCGCAGGGTGTAGGAGCACGAGAAGGTCTTCCCGCAAGTCTTGCAGGTGGGGACGTCTTCCGTGAAGATGCCAAAGTTGGAGTGGGACTCGTAGTCCTGCAAGTACATCTGTTCGTGCAAGGGCGGAGTCACCATGTTGGAGAAGCTTTGTCCGGCAGGCACAGGGATCATGTGGTACGGGACGTGCTCTTGAGGCAGGAAGCCGCTCTCAGAAGAGACCTCTTCCATCCCACCTGGCTCTTCAAAGCTGTCGGGGTGGCGCCCACAGCCTCCGGCAGGCCCTGCCTCTACAGCGGACCTCTGGAATATTGTCTCCAGCCTCAAATCTGCGCTCTGCCCCTCCAGTTGATCCATCATGTCCGGCTCCTCATCGGAGATCACGATGGCTTCCACCTTGACCTTGACGGAGGACCTGCTTGGCTCCTTCTGGCAAAACACACCGAGACCACCTGTCTGTTGTTCCCCATACCTCTCCGAAGGGCCGGCATGACCCTCAGCTGCGTTCCTTGGTGGCGAGCAGCTGTGTGATATGGTTTCGGTGGAGCTGCTAGGGCTGGAGAGGGAGATGTCAATGACAGGGGGTGGAAAAGGCCTCACAGGAGGAGGAGGAGCTTCCATCCCTGGCTGTGTGGTGTCCGCCATGTCCAAAGTGGAGGCCAATGGCTCCTCGGAAACCATTTTCTCTCCACCTTTCCACTCCTGTTTCTTGCTCTTCCCTGCTTCGCTTGGCTGAGGGGGCGGCAGCGGCTGGGCTCCGGACGTTTGAAGTTGGCACTTGGAGGTGCTGGGCAGAAGCTCTGAGCTGCCCAGGGGATCCTCTTCCTTCTTGGTGCTGTCGGCTTCCGCCAAGGCGCGGGCCTGCAGCTTCTTCTTGCACACCTTGACAATGTCGTTCATGTGCAAGTAGCTGGCGGCCGCCAGGATGTCTTCCACCGGCATGTCGTTGAAGGAGAGGCTGCCTTTGTACATGAATTCCAGCAGCAGCCCAAAGGCGGGCGCCGTGACGATCTCATTGTTAATGGAGACCAAGTCTCTCTTGTCCAGCCGCTCCTTATAGAACATGTGGAAAAAGGCACTGCAGGAGGCCAGCACTGCCCGGTGGGCCAGGAACTGGGTGCTGCCCACGAGGACCGTGCAGTCACAAAGGAAGCCCTCGTGTTGCTGCTCCCAGAGGCTCTGCAGCAAGTTCTTGCTGTGGTTTGGGAACTCCATGCTGGGACAGCTCTTTCACGATGAGGGGTTGACCAACAGCATAGTCCAGGCTCCTTGAGACAGCAGAGCGGGGGGCGGAATGAGCGAGAGAGAGGGGAAAAAACTTGGTAACTTGTAAGAAATGGCTTTTAGGACATTGACCCCTTCCCCCTTTATTTATGCAGAAAACATTTTGCTAGAAATACATTCAAGGGGTTAGTACTAGCCCTAAATGACTTGGGAGCAAAGTACCCCAAAGGGCACCTAACCCAAGATCAGCTATCTCAGATTCTACAATGAGGTGTGTCTGCCTCCTTCATTATTGACTTTCAAGAGGAATGTGGCATTTAAGGGCTGACCGTAAGATCAGTCTTGAAATCAGTTGTTGACTGTAATTTTAGAATATTTCTGCCTGCTCTCAGAATGCTTAAAAATATTAATGATATGTGCCCTAGGCAATGCAGGATATTAATCTGAGTAAATAGTAATGAATAATAAACATTAAAAGCTGCCTTATGCTGGCTGGAACACTGATCTCAATCTAGCTCTGCGTTGCCTGTTTTGCCTGGGAAAGACTCCTCAAGGTGGACTCATCTCAGGTGGATGTTTTTCTTGGTCATTCTACCTAACAGCCTTCTAAACTGGAGAGGCTGCAGACTAAACATGGGAACTGCCAGATGTAAAAGTTTTTTAAAAAAAGAGAGAGAGGGCACTGCCAACTCTGCCGCCTGAAACTCCATCTCCCAAGCGTCCATCTTTTCTCATCTGGAGGCTGCAAAGCAACGGCATGTTGACTTAAGGTCTCCTACAACCCCCACACCAACTCCTGTTCTACAGCCCCCCCCCCCCCCCCGTTACTGTGCTCCACTGTTTGCAAATATTTCACCGGCTCCCAACCAGTTCCCTGCCCGGATTACTAATGCCAATCCAGAATTTCCCAATTTCCCCCGTTCTGAACCCACAACCCCACCATCAAATACCTCAGTTTGCACCTTCTAATTCCCTAAACCAGAGGTAAAGGTAAAGAGACCCCTGACCATTAGGTCCAGTCGTGGCCGACTCTGGGGTTGTGGCGCTCATCTCGCTTTACTGGCCGAGGGAGCCGGCGTACAGCTTCCGGGTCATGTGGCCAGCATGACTAAGCCGCTTCTGGCGAACCAGAGCAGTGCACGGAAACGCCGTTTAACTTCCCGCCAGAGTGGTACCTATTTATCTACTTGCACTTTGATGTGCTTTTGAACTGCTAGGTTGGCAGAAGCTGGGGGGATTTGAACCGCCAACCTTCTGATTGGCAAACCCTAGGCTCTGTGGTTTAACCCACAGCAGCACGGCCCTCCAAATGTCACTGAACTACAACTCCCAGCACCCCCGACCACGCTGACTGGGGGGCTGATGGAAGTTGGGAGGGCCACAAAATCCCTAAGTCAACTGCGTGCCCATAGATGTATTGCTATGATGGCAGCGCGCACTCTCCATAACTGAGAACAAAGTCTGTGTTTCCCACTCCTGCACCCTCCTTACCCTGTACCCCAACTCCTGGGACTTCTCCCCGTTATTTGATCCCAACCCCCCAATAATTATATAATAATCTCCTTTCCCATAAGGTCGAAGGTGGGAGGATCATTGGTGGCTCCCCCTCAACTGACCTCAGCATTTCCACCCCCCTGCCCCCCAATAAAGCCTGGGAATATGATGGAGACCCCCTTATAATGAATACCCCCCTTTATTTCCTTCTGCCCCGCCTTGGCCTCTGTGACCCCCATAATAAAAGCAGGGGAACCCCACAAATACTCCTCAATTTGCCCCTCCCCCAATGCGTGACCCCCTCCCCAAGTTGCCCCCCCTCCCCAGGTCCCACCCTCAGGGGGAGATAACGTGCTTCCTCCCCCCCACAATGCACTACAGACATATATCTATAAGGGAAAGCGCCCTTCTTCCTCCCCCCCAACAGGGGGTGCGTTGGGTGGTGGAAGAGCGCCTTCTTTCCCCCACTTACCCACCACAAAGCGGAGGCCTCGAGGGACCCGCCCCCTTCTGCCTGATTGGCTGCGCTCGCTAGGGAGGCGGGGCTCCCTCTCGTCACTCTTTTGCCTCCTCGTCTCCTGAGTGGCTCCCGCTCCGCCCGCCTCCCCAGCAGCGCTCATTGGGGCTCCTCCTCGCCCGTCGCCTTTCTCGGCCAACTGTCTTTGAGTGCGTCGCGCCGAAGGGAGCTGAGGGGGAAGGCAAAGGCGGGCCTCTCTCCGCCTGCTGTTTCTTCCGATTGGCTCAGCCCAGCTCCGTCAGCCGCGACGACCGCGGTCCGCTTTCGGCCCGGTGATTGGAGGAGGCGAGGAGCCGCCGCGCTTTCTGGAGCCTGAGTGGTCACCCCACCCTTGGCCCTTATCGCCGATTGGTGGGATCGTCCTAGAACTAAACCGGAGGAGGGAGAGCTTCGGTTTCCATAGTTACTAGGGAGTTGCGAGGCGATGAACGGAGACCATGCAGCTGTTGCTGCCTATGCAAATATTGTTTTGCATACATTTTGCTAATATATGCAGGTTACATAATTATTCATTGCCCGCAAATACTAAATAAAAAACAAACTTTTATTATTTTCACAATAATCATAATAATTATAACAAGAGTAACTATATTTTATATTATTATATTTATCGTTAATCATTAGTTTGGGTAAAGTGCTTTTACATATATCAGATGCTTTGTAGCAAAATAATTAAAAACCATTTATTGTCTTTCCACCTTTTGTTTGTTTGTTTTGTTTTTCAAATGGATGCTTATAGTTGTAATGGTCCATTGTGAACCATCCCAAACGGTAGTAAAGAAAAGTATATTGTCAGCATTCGTCTGTCTGGCAATGGAATGTGCCTGTGGGGGTGAAGCCAAACCACTAGCGAATCGCAGCACCTGCTATGGCTGCCGAGACCGGTAACTCATAACTGCTGCCTCCTATGTCGTTTTTGCTGTGTTTGCAGTACTGAAGTGACCTCTCTGGGGCGCAAGGCTGAGCAGGGTGTCTGGATGTCCTGAGCTGCCTGGAAGACAAGACCCTTCTCTCATCCTCACTGATGTGGTCCAAAGGAAAGCAGAGCAATACATATGACACCAGCTTGGCTGCAGGAGTTGCCGGAAGGAGGCATACAAGACACCATCCAACCACCTTAAGGACTCTGCTCTGGATTAGGGTTTACTCCTTAGCCTTTTGTTCTCCTGAAGATGTCCTTCAAGGCAGTGAGTACAGTACATGGATTTTTCCTTAGCGGGGTGTCCATACTTTTTTTAAAGAGGGCCAGATTTGATGAAGTGAACATGCGTAAGGGCCGACCAAAGTTGTTGAGCTTTTCTTAGGATTTTACCTCATGAAATAAACTACCACAGGGGCCAGATTAAACTGACTGGCGGGCCGTATTAGGCCCCCAAAACGGACTTTGGACATACCTGCCTTAGGGTTTACTCCTGAAGACATTCTCATGAAAGAGTATAGTGGATGGGCTACCTTCCCAGGTAGACGAGCCCCATCTGCCCCTCATTTCCCTCTACAGCACTTACAATAACCGCCTTCTTGAGTGTTGGACCCACTATTGGTCTTATCCGCTCAATCTGCCAGAGCCTGTCTTTGCACTCAGGGGAAATCCCTAACTCACCAAGAGTTTGAAACCCATTGGCTACCCTCACCTGGCACCTTCCATTCTCACAATCAATAAGACATTGCACACTTATTTGTCACTTTTACCTGACTTAAGTTTTACTTGGATGCTACAAAATTATTATTATAGTACAGTGGTATCTCTGGATGCGAACGGGATCCGTTCCGGAGCCCCGTTCGCATCCTGAAGCAAACGCAACCTGTGTCTGCACGTGTAGTGATTTGCCACTTCCGCGCATGCGTGTGACATCATTATGAGCGTCTGCGCATGCGCGAGCGGCAAAACCCGGAAGTAACACGCTCGGTTATTTCCGGGTCGCTGCAGAGTGCAACCCGGAAAGGTTTAACCTGAAGTGACTTCAACCCGAGGTATGACTTTATTGGGCTTTATCCAACATTACTCCTGCTTAGAGTAGGCCCATTTAAATTAATAGGCAAGTCTTAGGTCCTTTAATTTCAGCAGGTCTATGAATATAATTTAGTTGGGTATGGCTTTTTAATTATTATTGACCAGGTGGAATGTATAATGTAGTTCACTTCCTTATTCATGGGAAGGATATTTCCAGTAGTACAGTCATACCTTGGAAGTCGAATGGAATCTGTTCCGGAAGTCCTTTTGACTTCCAAAACATTTGAAAACCAATTTGCAGCTTCTGAAGCTCCTGCAGCCAATCAGAAGCTGTGGAAGCCACGTCGGACATTCAGGTTCCAAAAGAACATTCGCAAACAATCACTTCTGAGTTTGTGGCATTCAGGAGCCAAAACATCCGAGTTCCAGGGCATTCAGGTTCCAAGGTACAACTGTATAGATCAGTTGCATTTAAAATATTTAGAATATATCATATTTATGATTATATGTAACATTATTTAATATATTAGGCATATTTATATCCTGCTTTTCTACTTTAAACTATTCAATAGCCCTACTGTAGATAGCTAGCAACAAATGATGAAAGAAGGGAAATGCAAAAAATTAACAGTGTTCGAAAACCTCTGAAATCAGGTGTAGGTAGACTCATAGATGTGGAAATAGATGGATCTGTTCTGCCTCCACTGTTAGAGGGATGGAGGAGTGGGTGGCAGGGGTAAGTGCTGGCTTAGGGCAGACAGAGGCTGTTGGGGCAGCGTCTCATTTTCCCTAATGGATGATCCTTCATTCCATGTACAGTGGTACCTCGGGTTACATACTCTTCAGGTTACATATGCTTCAGGTTTCAGACTCTGCTAACCCAGAAATAGTGCTTCAGGTTAAGAACTTTGCTTCAGGATGAGAACAGAAATTGTGCTCCGGCGGTGCAGCAGCAGCAGGAGGCCCCATTAGCTAAAGTGGTGCTTCAGGTTAAGAACAGTTTCAGGTTAAGTACGGACCTCTGGAACGAATTAAGTACTTAACCCGAGGTACCACTGTATTAATTCACTTCAAAGCATGGTAATCCATGATAAGCTAGCTCTGCCCCGAACATCTTTGCCAAAGCCCTACACCTGGTGGCGCCAGCAGGCTTAGAAGGCCAATCAAACATCCTTCGCCTAGGCTGGAAAAACAGATACAACAATGTCTTTTGCTTTGTTTTTGTGTCTTTGGCTGCTCGCCTTCCTGCTGTTGCACCGGCTGATGTTCCTCTTTCTCTCCTTTCCACAGTGGCCACTAGGAGTCAGCTGTCAGAAGCGAAGCCTGTATATGTAAACAACCCGCCAGCCAATTGCCGCCTCCTGTCATTTCAAATCCATCCAGTGGGTTTCTTTTTGAATTGTTAACGTCTCTGTGAGTCAGAGCCTTCCTGATAGATCGCTTGGGCTTTCGAACAGGGTGCCCGGCAGTGGAAATCTTTGGAGGGGGCTGCTGGTGGTGGGAGATCCTTCCTACCCGCTGAAGATCCCTTCCTTCTCCGACCTGACACGACATGAGGAGGAAAGAACCCACATCGGGCAGGTCCAGGGACACCCCGGTGAGGAGGTCGAGTCGCTTGCAACCGGACAGAGTTGGAGAGCAGGTGAGGCGTGGAAAAGTTTGCAGGATGCATGCTCAGATCCCAGCATATCCATTGAAAGGGAGTTAGGTTCCAGGGCTGGGGAAGACCCTTGCGCTGCTAGAGTTAGGCAGCTAGGTGGACCAATCAGTCCGAGCGCCAAGCTGCTTCCTGTACCAGCTGGACAGCTCCTCAGTGGGAACAACCTGCCTTTCCAACAGTGAAGAAATCTAAAATAGTGGTTCCCTAATTTCCACCACTTCTTGCACCACTTGAAAATTGCTGAAGGTCTCGGCGCACCACTGAATTATTTTTTTTCTGCCTGCTGTAGCAGTTGTGCGGTGCTGTGCTAGACCAGGCATAGGCAAACTCAGCCCTCCAGATGTTTGGGACTACAACTCCCATCATCCCTAGCTAATAGGAGCAGTGGTCAGGGATGATGGGAATTGTAGTCTCAAAACATCTGGAGAGCCGAGTTTGCCTATGCCTGTGCTAAACGCTGCATAATTTCTAACTGTATTCTTGTTGCTGCTTTTATTTCTTACATATTGTATTTAATTGTACAGTCGTACCTTGGCTCACCTAGCAGTTCGAAAGCATGTCAAAGTGCAAGTAGATAAATAGGTACCGCTCCAGCGGGAAGGTAAACGGCGTTTCTGTGCGCTGCTCTGGTTCGCCAGAAGCGGCTTAGTCATGCTGGCCACATGACCCAGAAGCTGTCTGTGGACAAACGCCGGCTCCCTCGGCCTATAGAGCGAGATGAGCGCACAACCCCAGAGTCGGACATGAGTGCTCCGGTTTTTGAAAGATTTTTGGAAGCTGAATGTCCAGTGTGGCTTCTGCTGCTTCTGATTGCCTGCAGGAGCTTTGGTTTCTGAACGTTTTGGAAGTTGAACTGACTTGCGAAATGGATTCCGTTTGACTTCCAAGGTACGACTGTATTACTGTTTCCAACAGCACAGAATGCAAATTGTAATGCAGTAAAACACAATATAACGAAAGACGCTGTACCTCCCTTCTCAGAGGTAGTATGCCTCTGAATAGCCCTCTTCAAATATCTAAAGGGCTGCCACATGGAAGGTGGAGCAAGCTTGTTTTCTCCTGCTCTGGAGGGTAGGACTTGAACCAATGGCTTCAGCTTACAAGAAAGGAGATTCCGATTAAACAGCAGGAAGAATGTTCTGACCGTATGAGCTGTTCGACCGTGGAACTGACTTCCATGAGAGATTGTGGACTCTCCTTCCTTGGAGGTTTCTAAGCAGAGGTTGGGTGGCCATCTGTCATGGATGCTTTCAGCTGAGATTCCTGCATTGCAGGGGGTTGGACTAGATGACCCTTGGGATCCCTTCCAGCTCTATGAGTCTGTGAATACCAGTTGCTGGCAATCACAAGTGGGAAGAGTTTTCTTTCACTCATGCCATGCTTGTGGGTTTCCAACAAGGATCGGGCTGGCCGCCGTGAGAACAGGGTGCTGGACCAGGTGAGCCACTGCATTGATCCAGCATGCTCTTCTTATGTCCTTACGTTAAGCAATAAAAATACAATCAAAAATCAATATGAATGCTTAATGTGATGGATGTGCTGTTTCTGATCTTCAACCACTAATCCACAGACCTACCACAAAGCACCTAAACGAAGCTCACAGATGACTCACAGACACAATTTGGGAATCCCCGGGCTAGAACAATACAGTGGTACCTCGGGTTAAGTACCTAATTCGTTCCGGAGGTCCGTTCTTAACCTGAAACTGTTCTTAATCTGAAGCACCACTTTAGCTAACGGGGCCTCCTTCTGCTGCCGCGCCGCCGGAGCACAATTTCTGTTCTCATCCTGAAGCAAAGTTCTTAACCCAAGGTACTATTTCTGGGTTAGCGGAGTCTGTAACCTGAAGTGTATGTAACCCGAGGTACCACTGTACTTCTCCTGATTTCTAGTTACCAGCAAAGCAACTATTATTGCAGATTGCTAATGAAGCAAAATTCAGATATCTGGGTGCAATTGACAATGTTTCTCCCGACTCCGTCCCAGAACTGGCAATAACGCTGATGGATTTTGTCAGCCCACAGCAATAGGGAATCCCATTGCTGTTGTTAGTAGCATTACTTGGTTGCATTATACCAAAAGTCCCAAGGTGACTTTGCAAGATGATTAAATCAAAACTAAAAGATAACCACCACAGTAAAAGCTGAAATCATGCATAAATATGTATCATTTGGTGTAGTGTGAATTGATTGAACAGGTGAGCAACCATCCACAGCAGCAAAAAATTGCTGTTAGTGGTGATGGACTTTAAATGATATTTTCAGTATATGTCTGTGTATGATTTTAAGCCAAGGTGAAACAGCAAAAGTGTCAATGTAAGATGTTTAGTATGTCTCACTTCACGGCCTTTATAGTCAATTCATACATTTTAATTAAAGTAAATCTTAATTTTTAAAAATATATGTATATCTGTATCTGTATCTCTATATCTAATTACCAGGCAGGTTCCTAAGTGGTTTCAGAGTATTTGCTCTCTTGGGTCAGAATACTTGCAGGGCAGGAACAACATTTCCCCTTAGATCATCTTAAAGAGCTGATAATTCGGGAAAGGGGCCTGAAACATTCCTGAGGGGTCTGCCTCCCTCCCTCTGGTGCTGAAGGAAATTGCCTCTGTGCCACACTAACGTGTCAAATGCTTGAACCAGGAATGGGAAATATCTGGCCCTCCACAGGTGGTTGGACTACAGCTCCCATCAGCCAGCATATGACCATTGGCTGGGAATGATGGAACCCGGAGCTTGGCAACATCTGGAAGGCCACAGGTTCCCTAAACTGGCCTTTAAACTTCATATTTGATGGAGAAGTGAATCTTGAATCGATAGCTGGATTTTGAACACCGCTTTTGGAAGGGGAGCCACAATTCAATAGCAGAGCACAGACTTTGCTCTGTAGAAGGTTCCTGCTTCACCTCTTTGCTTCACCTACATTGGCTCCCACAGTACATTTCCGAGCACAATTCAAAGTGTTGGTGCTGACCTTTAAAGCCCTAAACGGCCTCGGTCCAGTATATCTGAAGGAGCGTCTCCACCCCCATCATCCAGCCCGGACACTGAGGTCCAGCGCCGAGGGCCTTCTGGCAGTTCCCTCACTACGAGAAGCCAAGTTACAGGGAACCAGGCAGAGAGCCTTCTCGGTAGTGGCGCCCTCCCTGTGGAACGCCCTCCCACCAGATGTCAAAGAGAACAACAACTTCCAGACTTTTAGAAGACATCTGAAGGCAGCCCTGTTTAGGGAAACTTTTAATGTTTGATGTATGACAGTATTTTAATTTTTTTTTTGGAAGCCGCCCAGAGTGGGCGCGGTATAAATAATAAATTAATAATAATAATAATAATTATTATTATTATTATTATTATTATTATTATTATCTTGGCACCTCCAGTTTAAAAGGAACTCTTGGATGATGATGACGACGATGATTTTATTTGCACCCTACCCATCTTACTGTGTTGCCCTAGCCACACTGGGCAGCTTCCAGCATATACAAAAACATAATAAAGCAGTAAACATTAAACTTCCCTATACAGGGCTGCCTTCAGATGTCTTCTGAAGCCCCTGAGCTTGCAAGGAATGACACAAATGAAAGTTTACAGCAGCACCCTCCATTGACCATGCATTCACCCATGCAGACAAGTGGGCTTTGGTGTCTCAGTGAGGAGAAGGGGAGATCTCAGAGAAGTTGGGCACACTTAGGGCATCATGCCCGAAGCCCATTCTGCCCCCACAAACTGGAACGGGCACTGGCCATACTGGCTGTGGGAGCTGGAGTCCAGTAACTTTTGAATGGCTGCAGGTTTACCCATCCGTGGTGGCTGGTCCAATAGGGAGGCAGTGGCAGAGCATGCAGGAGATTAAAGTTGCAATTCGTGGCACCTCTCTCTTCAGAGAGCCAGTGTGGTGTAGTGGTTAAGAGCGGTAGACTCGTAATCTGGTGAACTGGGTTCGCTTCCCCGCTCCTCCACATGCAGCTGCTGGGTGACTTTGGGCTACTCACACTTCTTTGAAGTCTCTCAGCCCCACTCACCCCACAGAGTATTTGTTTTGGGGGAGGAAGGGAAAGGAGAATGTTAGCCACTTTGAGACTCCTTAGGGTAGTGATAAAGCAGGATATCAAATCCAAACTCCTCCTCCTCCTCCTCTTCTTCTTCTTCTTCTTCTTCTTCTTCTTCTTCTAAAAGATCACAGGCTGCTGGGCTGTGAAAGACTCTCCAGCTGAGAAACCAGAAAGCCAGATGGCAGCCTTGACAGCAATGCTGGGGTTAGATCACCCAGAGGCCTGACTTGGGCAAAGGCAGCTCTTGCAGCGCAGGCTCCTTTCAAAGGGCAGGAAGTTTTCTGTGTGAGTGGCGGGCAGAGGAGGCGGGCAGAGAGCTCCTATCTCTTTGTGACTGTAAAAACATCTGTGCAGCAAGAGGAAACTCCCAGGGGAGCTGCCTTGCGCTAATTGCAAGTAACGGTTGCGGAAGGCGCCCCTTTGGTCGGAGCCTTTGCACACACGTGCGCTTTCTCTTGCACAATCCGTCAGAGCACCAATACTCCCTCAAGTCGCTTTTGGATGATGACAGGGTGATCGGTTCTTTTCCCTTATTTTTTAAATAGATTTTATTAAAGTTTGAAAAAATAATTTGAAGGTTAATATCAGAGAGCTTTTCATCAAGGATAAAAAAAACTAAGAAAGAAAAAATTCCAATTCCTCATCTGTCAGCTATATGTAGAAAATTATTCAACTCCAAGATAAAGGGACGCGGGTGGCGCTGTGGGTAAAACCTCAGTGCCTAGGACTTGCTGATCGCATGGTCGGTGGTTCGAATCCCCGCGGCGGGGTGAGCTCCCGTCGTTCGGTCCCAGCTCCTGCCCACCTAGCAGTTCGAAAGCACCCTTAAGTGCAAGTAGATAAATAGGTACCGCTTTATAGCGGGAAGGTAAACGGCGTTTCCGTGTGCTGCTCTGGTGCCGGTTCGCCAGAGCAGCTTCGTCACACTGGCCACGTGACCCGGAAGTGTCTGCAGACAGCGCTGGCTCCCGGCCTCTAGAGTGAGATGAGCGCACAACCCTAGAGTCTGTCAAGACTGGCCCGTACGGTCAGGGGTACCTTTACCTTTACCTTTTACTCCAAGATAACACCCAACAAATCCACTTTCTATAAACTATTACAGTGGTACCTCAGGTTACATACGTTTCAGGTTACAGACTCCGCTAACCCAGAAATAGTGCTTCAGGTTAAGAACTTTGCTTCAGGATAAGAACAGAAATCGTGCTCCAGCGGCGTGGCGGCAGCAGGAGGCCCCATTAGCTAAAGTGGTGCTTCAGGTTAAGAACAGATTCAGGTTAAGAACGGACCTCCAGAACGAATTAAGTACTTAACCTGAGGTACCACTGTATTACCTTCAGTCCCCAAACCCAGATACAGTGATACCTTGGTTCTCGAACTTAATCTGTTTGACTCCCAAAACCGTTCGAAAGCCAAGGCGCAGCTTCTGATTGGCTGCAGGAGCTTCCTGCACTCAAGTGCAGGAACCGCGTCGGATGTTCAGCTTCCGAAAAAACATTTGGAAACCGGAACACTTACTTCCGGGTTTGCGGAGTTTGGGAGCCGATTTGTTTGGGAGCCAAGCCGTTTGAACACTGTGTCATGTTCATTTTCTTATTTACGCAAAAAGTCTATAAGGGTTTTCCACCCTTTAGTAAATGTCGACAATGGTTTTTCTCTGATTAAAAACATCAAGGGTGATCAGTTCTTATGGCTCCTTGAAACATGTTTTTTAATTTCGGAAGGCACCAGGATTATTCCCAGGATTGTTGGGGGGGGGGGAGAGGATGTGCTTTAAAAGTGCGTTAGGTGTATAGTGCACACGCAGTCCTCATCAACCCTCTTTCTGTACAATAACAAAACAAAAACCCGCTGCTAAGAGGAAGTGCCCCAATATACTGTAAGGCACCAGCTGCCAATCAACACGACTCTGCGCTGTTTCTCAAATGCAGGTTTCAAGGGAACCGCAAAGCTTCAGAGGAAGTCATGTCGCTGACATCCTTTCGCCCAGGGAGAGCATCAGAGCTCACAGGAAGCAGGCCGAGCCAGCCAAGGACCCATCGCCCAGTCCCCCCAGAGGTTCTTCGCAATTGTCGGAAGAAGCAGAAGCTCATGAAGACAGCAGGCAAACCGTGTTGGAAAGAGACACTACCTTGGTGAGTCTATTTCAGCTAGTTGAGGCAGCTGGACTTTGGCATAGCTGTCAACCGTCCCTTATTTGACGGGAAAGTCCCTTATCCCAGCGCTGTGTACCGCTGCTGCCCCTTATTGATGATGTCCCTTAAATTTCCCGGGTTTCAAAGGAAGCAGCTCCCCTCCCTCCCTCCCTGCCAGCCAGGGAGGAGGGAGGCTCCAACTGTATTCTTGGCTGCATTGCTCACCCAATAAGGCGTCTAAGAATGACTGGGGGGTGGAGCTTGCATGCTTTGTGCCGATCAAATCGGCCGCGTTACCTGGGGACTCGCCTTTGCTCAGCACTTCCCAGCGGAGAGGTGACAGTGGTTTTCCTTGCTGCATCCCCTTTGCTGGGTTGCTGCGCTGTGGGAACCACCGCTTGAGGCTTCGTTTGGCTGCTGGTTGACTAAAATCCCTTATTTTGGCTGCTGATCCCTTATTTTCGAGGCTGCTAGTCCCTTATTTTCAAATCTGTAAGTTGATAGCTATGGACTTTGGCCATAGCTGTGCAACAAAGACAGGGTCACTCTCAGGGCTGGGGGTGTACAATCTAAACATTTCTCTTTCCTCTCCAAATTCAGAAGCAAACTAAATGTACCACAGGGAGATATACTTACTTATCTATTGCAGGAGTGGGGAAAATTTTCTGGTCCGAGGGCCGCTTTCTTTCTAGGCAGCGTTTCGAGGGCCACACGCCAAAACTGACCTAGGTCACACAGGCGCATCATTTATTTGTAGCACATTGCTTCCCCCAAATAATCTTGGCAAATGTGGTTTGTTAAAGGCAATTGGGGATTGTAGCTCTTTGAGGGATGGACTACAGTCCCCAGGAGTCTTTGGGGAAAGTCATGTGAATTAAATGTGTGGCGTGGATGCGGCCTTCCTTGAATCCGGCGTGACTTACTTCTATGTAAGGAGGCGCAAGATTGCTGAGTCAGGTGGCAATGTGAAACAGGGAGTGTTGAAAGGGTTAGAATAATAGGCGCAGGGATACAGGAAGTCTTTGTCAGACCCTCAAGCTGTTGTGGGACTCCAGCTCCCATCAGCCTCAGCCAGCATTGCCAACAGTCAGAGATGATGGGAGCTGGAGTCCAGGGTGGGGTGGGGCATTCACTGCTAACAAACAAACAAATAAATAAATAAATGGGGAAAGTACCGTTCGGAAGGTGAGCTGCCTTGTTTCTTCTGTCAGTCAGGATTTGGTTCACAGGCAGAGTCCATTAATAGTAAGAGGACGACGACAACCAAGGTGGCTGCCACAGCTGGGCTCACTGAACATAAAAAGACATCCCTCCATTTTCCTTTTCAGTCCCCCTTTGTCAGGCTGAGGAGACTGGATGTGCCACAGGAAGAGGAGCCTTCCCCACCCCAAAACGGGGCAAAGGAGGTAACAAGGGAGGCGTAACAAGAACAGGGGTCTTTTTTTAAGCAGATCCATCTGAGGAAATGGCTGCCATCTTCCTCCATATCCCAGTAGGGACATTGGAAGCTGCCTTATACTGAGACCATCGATCCATTTAGCTCAGTATCGTCTGCACTGACCGGCAGCAGCTCTCCAGGATTTCAGGCAGGGAATCTCTCCCAGCCATACCTGGAGGACTGGACATGGGACTGTCAGCATCTTGTACCGCAGGAGCAAGCAGACCAGAAACTCTTCCATTTAACTGTGTTTCCAATTTTGTCCGAACCGGGGAGAAATTAATGTTAAGCCAGCTTACAACCGTGGCTTAATATCCTGGCTTGTTTCCAGCCTGTTACTTCTTGTTTTCCCATTTGGATGAAATGTGAAACTACAGGTTGAGTGGAGAACCTTGGGACTGGATGCGGCCCTCCAGGCCTCTCTGTCAGGCCCTTGGAACTCTCCCCAGCCACACACACCCTCTCTCCATGCCGTGGAGTTAATATTTACATTTGTAGCCCCACCCACTTCTTCTGGCCCCGCCTACCACTGGCATGTGGCCTCCGGAAAGTTACTTAGAAATGAAATCGGCCCTTGGTCTGAAAAATGGAAGACTTCCTTGTTTGGTAGCTCGCTTGCTCAGAGGGACAGCGTGTATGTGATCAAAAGACTCATTCGGATCTCGGCACATGAAGCCGAGATACGATTTTCACAACATGAGCTTTTTCCTCTCTTCCCAGCTGCCTCAACCAAACATCGAGTGGGAAGTGGTGAAAGACAAGAGGGCCCGGCTGCAGGTTCTGGAGACCTCTCAGCCGCGAAGCACCAAGGCCAGGCCCCAGATGGAGAGGAGGACAACGGCCAGCTCACAAGGCAGGGTGGAAAACGAGACGTTTGCCCTTGGGCAGCAGAGCAGGACAGGAATCACTGCCAGGTCCAAGGCGCCAACCATGAAGAAGGCCGACTCCTCTAAGTCACAGGCAGGAGCCCCCCAAAAGTGGGCCAAGGTATATTAAAGAATCCCAAAGCATGCTCCAACATACCCCATATATTCTCACTAAACTGCTTTAATCTGCGGAACAGGTACTTTCACAAGTGCCACGTAATGTTTATTCTACCCTGGCAAGGAAACAATCCTTTTAGTGTGGCAGCGCTTAGTCTCTGGAACTCCCTGCTGATTGGCAAGCATCTTCGTTGTACTGTTTTTGGTGCTTGCTTAAAACTTTTTATTGTTGTTTGGGCACGTCTAAACATTCCGCACAAAGACAAGCCTGTCGTTCCACACAAAGAACTGCCACAATGGTGGGGCAATGCAATTAAAAATAAAACTGAAACAGGTTTAGAAACATCTACAAAGCAGTCTTTAGCAAAATCTAAAAACTGTTACACACATTTGTTTTGAAACTTATGGGTTTTATCTATATTTTGGTAAATTTTAAGTCTACTACTTTTTAAAGTGTGATTGTGTTGATATTTTCTTCTAAATATTTCCTATTGTTTTGTGCCAACCACTTAAGGTTTCTTGCTGATTAAGCGGTATATAAATCCGGTTAAATAAAAAAATTAACATGGAGGCAAAAACACACAGAGTTTGAAATGTATGAGATAGTTGCTTTCTCAGTGGGGTGACAGAGGACACCCCCAGACTCGCTATTTTTGAGTGAAATTCAGTCACCTATCGGCAAATTCTGGCTGTGCAATTCTAGTTGTTTTGGAGCGCTTGTACAACAAACCCACTTCCTCAAAAGATCTGACTTTTGGCGACAAGGAAAGCAGTAGTGGAAATGTGTGGGATTACATTTACTTTGACACGCTATCAAACCTCTCCGCAAACAAATCAGAATGAATGCTCATTCTATGAAGGTGCATAAATGACTCAGTGGTAGAGCCTCAGCCCAGTATATCTGAAGGAGCACCCCCACCCCCTTTGTTCAGCCTGGACACTGAAGTCTAGCTCTGAGGGCCTTCTGGCGGTTCCCTCACTGCAAGAAGTGAAGCTACAGCGAACCAGGCAGAGGGCCTTCTCAGTAGTGGCACCCTCCCTGTGGAACGCCCTCCCATCAGATGTCAAGGTAATAAACAACTAAACGACTTTTAGAAGACATCTGAAGGCAGCCCTATTTAGGAAAGTTTTTAATATTTGATGGGCAGGGAAACCCAGGCAGATGGGCAGGAAGACATTCTCTGTCTGAAACGCTGATAGTGGAGTAGGAGAGCTGGAAAAAATGCCAATATATTTATTTCACATCCGGCAACCCATGTGCCCTTTGGTTTCAGATAGTGCATAGGTAGACGGGACTAAAAAGCCCAGGACACAAATTTTCATGGCCCTCCAGCAGCTATGACGGCTCATTTACCAAAAGTAATTTATTTAGCGTTAACTCCAAAAGTGTATACTCGATTCTGACCAAACTAAGCCTCCTAGAGCAAAATGTACATTGGGCTTAGTCTGGAGATGGCACTAAATAATGTCCTTCTTCCTCTCAACCCCTTTTGTCTTCTCAGCGTCTCCCGTATCGGTCCGTTCTCTGTTTCCTTCTCTTCTTGCTTATCCTGGGCTTTGTTTGCTGGTTCGCATGGGAACACGGAAACCCCGGCTCCTTCCTGGGGCTGGTGGGATACGAAGCATGGAGATGGAGCAGCTTCCCGAAACTGTGGAATGCGGTGGAGGAATGCAGTAGTCAGTGCAGGCAAGTAAGGGGCATGCGCATGTAAGGGCTACCAGCTATTATTTTTTATTATTAATTCAATTTAGGTACCGCTTTTATCAGAAGATCCCAGGGTTCGGTGTACAGATTTAAAAACACACTGCAGAACAATTAACAAAGAGATTACACACACTGCATAACACAAATGTTGCAGACAATTTTGTTGAAATATCACAGCCTTTTATAAAACACTTTACTGATAATCCTGAAGAACGGCAACTACCGAAATCACAGGCTGGACTTTGGCAAACTTAACTAGATTGATCTGTCCTGGAGAGAGGAGCGGGGCAGGTTGTTTTTGTATCCTTCTCTTTCTCTCTTTTGTAATTGTTATGTATTGAAGGTAAAGGTACCCCTGATCATTAGGTCCAGTCGTGGCCGACTCTGGGGTTGCGGCGCTCATCTCGCTTTATTGGCCGAGGGAGCCGGCGTACAGCTTCCGGGTCATGTGGCCAGCATGACTAAGCCGCTTCTGGCGAACCAGAGCAGCGCACGGAAACGCCGTTTACCTTCCCGCTGGAGCGGTACCTATTTATCTACTTGCACTTTGACATGCTTTCGAACTGAGAGGTTGGCAGGAGCAGGGACTGAGCAACGGGAGCTCACCCCGTCGCGGGGATTCAAACCAAACCGCCGACCTTCTGATCGGCAAGTCCTAGGCTCTGTGGTTTAACCCACAGCGCCACCCGCGTTCCTTAATTGTTATGTATTAGAAATCAATAAAACTATATTTTATAAGGAAACACTGAAAAAAGGAAAAAAGGGCTTTCAGCTGGGTGTGTTGTAGTCCAGGGGTGGGGGGAACCAGGGCAGAGCCTCGCCCTCCAAGCCCCTTGGTCTGGCCCTTGTCACTTTTCTCAGGCCGCACCCCTCTCACCATAGCACGGCATGTGGGATGGAAGAGATTCTGAAAAGAAACCCAGAATCCATGGGGTTGCCAACCTGTCCAACATAGAAAACAGCACCACTGCATTTCTTTAGCCTTCACCTGCTCCCCTCTCTTCTTCCTGGCTTCAGCCTGGTGTTGGTGGAGAGCATCCCGTCCACTTTGGATTACGAAACGCTGACTCCTCACCACCCAAGCATCTACCAGGCTTGGATGGACCTCTTGGGTGGCGCCAACAGCAGTGTGGAGATAGCAGCTTTCTACTTCACCCTACGAGACTCCGATGTTCACGTGGAGGATCCCTCTTCGAAGCAGGTCAGTTTCTAGGATGGGACAATCTCGCTTCCAGTTTTTCTGTTTCTCCTTTTTCCAAGCTTCAGTCCTGTACATTTCCACATCTGTTTGCATATTTTTTTAAAAAAGCCACGTGAAAATCAACCAGCATTTTACTGTATGCAGTTTTGCCTAACGCACACATTATTGCAAATCAGCTTCTCCCAATAGAATGCATTTTGTATGTTATTTTCTCTTATAGGTGCATTGTTATGCACCCTTTACCCCAGAACATTATTTTTTGCACATATTACTTGATTGGAAAACTGCATCGCAAAATTTGGAGAGCTGTGTGTTTGTGTAATGCAGTTTGTGTGAATTAGCTAGATATGCCTTTAAAAGCAAGGTGAATCCAATTTATCCCTCATGTGTTAGTCCTGGGCAGCTAGTGCTTGAGAGGTAGAACAATGCAAGGATGCATGCAATCTTTACAGAGAAAATTATGCATCTTTACTAAATTAGGTAGGGCAGAAGTTTTCAACCTTTTTTTGAGTCCACGGTTCCCTTGACCAACTACATTATTTCTTGACACCCCTGTGGTTCTCAGGAGCCCAGTTATGTCACCCCTTGCCTGCAGAGCTGGCAGCCTCTCATCCTTTTTTTTGAACACCCTCCCCTGTTGCAGATCTTATAGCCAGGACTGCTGCAATAGACAGCTGTGCAATCTTTTGGGAAGCAGAGACATACAGAGCCCAGGCCATCATGTAGGGGGTTCTGTGGTGGGAGTATACAATCCCATTGTTTCAAGACATAACATTGTAGGGAAGTGAAAGTTTTCATCTATTTTTTGCACTTGCAATATTCCCCCCAGAGGGAGGTGCACCGTTCCTGGAGATACTGCAATACCAGGTCGATGCATGGAGTGGATGGAGCAAGCCCCTATTCCATCTCCCAGCTCCAAAAATCCATTTAATATATAGTCCTCAAATAGAGGACATATCAGATATTAAACTGATAAGAACAGATACTACACTTGATCTTAGCCAAAAGGCCGAGAAGCGATACCAAACTGAGCAAAAATTAAGCGGGTCTCCTTTTCCGATGGCTTTTGAGGTGATGGTGGGTACTTGGCGCTGCAAAGCTCTCACCACCCCATCAGAATCAGCACCATTTCCAATTCCACAAAATACACTCTGACAACATTTCTACCTGTTTTCCAACTCAGCAGCCTCTTCATGGACAATTTAACCCCAAAACTAGATCATTCTTTCGATCTTGTCAATTTCTCAGCCGTCTGCCCGGTTGCTTGATGGCCATTGGTGTGCAATCTGCATAAACCCGCCCACTTACCTGTTAGGTGCTGCGTAACTGTTAACCAGCAGAGGTCGCAAAGGTTTCACTTTGATAGCTTGCTGTTCATTCGAGAGCATCCTGCAAAAACAGCTGTGCAAGCCGAGCAAAGCAGTGCTGCAGAATAAATTTTCCCCTTAAAACATTGAAACGCTGTAAAAGAAATTCTTGGCGTGTAATGACTGGAGAAAATCTATCTGGTTCTGCAGATGCTATTTCCTAGCAGAGCCAAATCCTTTAAGTTTACCTGAAGATTTACTTCCTTCTGCCCTTTCAACTTTGATTTGAGCACGAAATGCACATACAACTTTGTCATGAGTGTTTAATACCATCCTTTTACTGACTTTCCTTAATTAAATAAATTGCAGGTATCTCTGCCCCCCAAATTAATTCCCTTTTTCTTCACGCACATAGAAATGAACCCGCAAATCTATTTGAGATGGAGATGTGAGCATCTCTAGGTTCCATGCATAGCAATACTGTCGTAAGCGTTGTGCTTGTCGTTCTTGCAGGGCAAGGCGGTGTTTGAGTCTCTGCGGTCCTTGCCTTCTCGCGGGGTGAAGCTCAGCATCGCTGTGAACAGCCCCCAGTTTTCCCAGTACGACACAGATGAATTGGCCCGCCATGGTAAGGTGTCACGTAGAGCAGGGTATTTTGTACTGCTTGGAAACCTTTCAACAGTCAACTGTTAGCCAGCTAAGGCTGTTGTATGCATTATTATACCATTAAAGCACACTCATTCCCTCAAAGAATTCTGGGCAAGGGTCAATGGGGATTGTATCTCTTGTGAGGAGTAAAGTAGAATGCCCAGAATTCTTTGAGGGGGAGAATGTACAGTAAGCCCACAACTTCTGCTCATTGAACTTGTGCACATTCAGCTTTATGCTCTTGACCAAAATAATAATGATAATGATAATAATTAAAAATAAGGCAGACAGGCATCCAGGAGAAAAGATTTTGGCAATCCCACCCACTATTGAACCAAGTGTGTTTTTAATACAGTGGTACCTCGGGTTACATACGCTTCAGGTTACAGATGCTTCAGGTTACAGACTCCGCTAACCCAGAAATATTACCTCAGGTTAAGAACTTTGTTTCAGGATGAGAACAGAAATCGTGCTCCAGCGGTGCGGCGGCAGCGGGAGGCCCCATTAGCTAAAGTGGTGCTTCAGGTTAAGAACAGTTTCAGGTTAAGAATGGACCTCTGGAACGAATTAAGTACTTAACCCCAGGTACCACTGTATGTGCGATTTTGGCTTTCGGTGCAATCCCCAGAACCCCCATGTAAATTGTGGGCTTACTGTACTTTGAATATGTTTTATGTTGGAGTTAGGTGTGTACGTGTGCATATAGTGTATATATTCAGAGCTGTAACAAGGGTCCCTCCGGAGGGCCATCTGGCAGAGTCCCCTCTCTCTCTGGCCTTCCTGATAGCACATTACCTTCCCCAATGCTTTTCTTCGGGGGGGTGTGTGTGCCGATACTTCATATCCTTGAGTACCCCCAGAAAAAAGCACTGCCTTCCCATTGTCTTTGGTTAATGGCTGATCTCCCAGGTGATTTCCTGAACACAGGAAGCTGGTGGGGCCTGTATTTTAACACTCTGCCAAATCTGAAAGGGAGAGAATCTGTATTCACAAGCGTGAAGGCTAGAAGCTTGCTGAATTCTGAACACTCAGTTCTGCCCTTGGTAGCAGAATATACATAGACTTAGGATGCATGTGGTCTGTAATGGCATCGGCTTTTGCTTTTGGTAACTGGAGTAGCACAGGGACTGAGCTACAAGTAAAATAGTCCATCGTTCATGTTACCGGAAAAATCCGAGGGCTCTCTTGGACAAAAACAAAGACACCAACCAGGATAACTTGGAGCAAAACAGCAGCCTGTAGGCTTGGCCTTTATTGAACTGTTGCAACAGGGTATTCCCCTCACTCGCAGGAGAGAGGAAAGACCCAGAACAATGGCCTGCAAGACCTTATAAAAACTTTTGAAATTCCCCTCCTCCAGGTCAAGCCCACCCCCAGAAACATCATGCATACATTACAGAAGGGGTTGACATCATGCATACATTACAGAAAGGAGGGGTTGAGGGAGGAGTTGTGGTGGTAACCTGAGTGTCCTGTCACCTGGCTGGTTCCCCCTTTCCCCCTCCCCATGAGTACTTTCCAGGTGACAAAGGGGAGTTTGCAGTTTCCTGCCCCCAGAGGGAAGATCTGATCATTGTCCTTTGTTTCAGTCTGTGGTGAATCCACTACCATATGCAAGTTCTTTGTCATTTTGATTGTCTTCTGTCTGGGATTATCAAGGCTGACATAGCAACTGGGCAGGGCTCCTGTGGATGTGCTGGGATGGTGAAGGGATTATGGCTGACCAGAAACCAAGCCACCCCCCTTTGATAGTCCTTGTCACATGGAGTAAAAAATGGAACAGTGCAAATCCGATGTATGGTTGATTTTCTATGAATTTATAACAGAAATGTGGCGTATGTAGTGTGTGTGAGTGTGAGTGTGTGTGAAGTTTGTGCAAACAGAATGATTGGGGTGGGGGGTTTCCTGCTACAGTTCAAATCTCACTTCTGCCACCAGGCTACATAGACTTAAATGAGCCATTCTCCCTCATCTTCAATATCTCCAGTATGGGAGTAACACTGGGGTTGCAATGAAGGGGGCAGAGGCAAATCCAGGGGGAGATAATTCCAAAGGCTCAGTGGTAGAGCATCTGCTTTGCATGCAAAAGGTCCTAGGTTCAATCCTCAGCATCCCCAGGTATGGAGGTGACTGGGAGAGTCTACCTGCCTGAAATCCCAGTAAGCTGGTCAGTGTACACCAGGGGTCGGCAACGTGCGGCCCATGGGCCAGAAGCGGCCCACGAAGACCATTTTACCAGCCCACGAACCGCCCCTGAACCAAGCCACCCGCTCGGCGAGTTCCCCATGCACTGCGCTAAACCAGCGCAGCACGGTGCAGGGACCTGCTGTGATAGGAATTTTGAGGTCTTAGATATATGTTAAATATTCATAAATGTACCAACCAAGCACATACATAGATCAGCACAGGAAGACCGACCTGGAACCATTTTTGATTCCCAAACTGTCCCAAACTGAACAAATGTTTTCTCTGCAAGGTCAAAGGAAAATGGAAAAGCCTCCCCATTGTCTTTTCCTTCACAAATCCTGTCTTAAGGGTATGTCTCTGTTTGAATAGGGTGTGAGCCTGTGAGCCTGTGACATGGCCCAGGAACTAAGTATTTATCATTACAAAAGATTGGCCAGGCTCCCCAGGGTATCCAATCAAGTAACCAGACAGGAGATCAACAAGGACAGGAGAAAAACAACATTCAAATTTCTGTTTAGACCGCCTTTTCAGTGATGTACAGTGGTACCTCGCAAGACGAATGTCTCGCAAGACAAAAAACTCGCTAGATGAAAGGGTTTTTTGTTTTTTGAGCTGCTTCGCAAGACGATTTTCCCTATGGGCTTGCTTCGCAAGACAGAAACTGTGGGAAAATGATTGCTTGTACATGAGAGCATGAGCAAAGTTCTTATTGTTACAGGGTGATTTCATAGCTAGAAGCATCCTTGGAGCATGAACAGCGCGTGAACAGCTCGTGCTGTCCTATATGATTGGCTAACGTGGCATGGCCTGATGCTCGCATAGTCTAGTGCGAAGGTCCTTATCTGCTTGCTAGAACAAATTGCTTGGCTTGTATTTTGTATCTTTCTGATTTCACACAATAAAAGCTGTGCTGCATTAGCCCTAAGAGCAGCTATATTTCGGAACCTATTATGGTGTGAGACTGATTTTTCTTTGGATGCCGAGCTGCAACTCGACAATTGGTGCCCCGTGTGACTGCCTTCGGACTTCACGTTGTTTTTCATTATTCAGCACTCACCAACACGTCGTTCATCCACGTAGTGGATCCCTGGTGAGTGCTCCCGTGTGATTTCTTTCGGACTTCATGCTGTTTTACAACGTTCAGCCTCACCTCGCCCGGCAGGGCTGCGGACGCGTCGTTCATCCACGTAGTGGATCCCCGGTGAGAGCACCCGTGTGAATGTGATTCTGGACTACGTTACGGACTTATCAGCACTTATCTCCGCCCGGACAGGGCAAAAGGCGCCTCCCTCATCCTCCTAAGGATCCCTCCGGTAAGTGCTCCCTGCTCTTTTTGCAACTCTTGCAATCATGGGAAAGTCTCTCTCTGCACCACAGAAAATTTTTTTTAAAGACCTTAAATTCCTTTTGGCCAGTAACAACCTTGCTGTTCGGAAAGCTGACCTTAAGTCCCTTATAAAAGCCCTGGACACTCACTGTCCCTGGTTCCCCCAGGACGGAAATTGGGAGTTAGACGATTGGAAAAAAATTGGACACTTCTTTCAAAATCATCCTCAGATTGATGTCAAGGTTTTGCATGCCTGGTGTAACGTCTACAAAGCTATGTCGTGCTTAACTCCTTCAAACATTCTTCTGGCTGCCGCAACAGCTTCTTCGCCCGCCCTCCCAGCTCCCGCTTTGCCTGCCTCAAACCTACCTCCTAAACCGCCGGACATTTTCCCTTCGGCTCCTCCTGTCGTCCCTCCTCTGCATTCTTCGCATTCAGCACCCCCCGCTGTTCCACCTCCTCCGCCCAAGGCATCTGGCACCGCTTCCACCCCACTTCAAGAATCTCTCCGTGCCGCTGCTCCGTTGTTGGCTTTTGATTCTACAACTCCTAATCTTTTTCCTGTGAGTGTTACTGCCGCCCCAGGGGGAGGCCCAGCCCGGCACGACCAGTTTGATTTGAGATTCATAAAGGAACTGTATTCTTCTGTCAAGGACAATGGCCCTGCACCCCCAGCCCCTGTTATGCTGAACCAAACTGATGTTCTTGATGGCTTAACTGGCGAAGGCAGTTTTCTTACTATTGCCCAACAGTTGGCCCTTGATCCCATGTATTGGACAGCTACTACTGCTGCCGCCCAAGAAGCTTTGTCCTCTGTTCCTGATGACAAGAATGAGCGCGGTGGCAGCATCAGACAGGGTCCTACAAAGCCCTATGGACAATTTGTCGATCGCTTGGATAACACTCTTAAGCGGCAAGTTCAGGACGTAGCAGCCCAAGAACTGATTGTCCGCCAGCTTGCGTTTGATAATGAGAATGAGGACTGTAAGCAAGCGCTGCGCCCTTTGATGACAACATCAAATATAGCCATTGCAGATATGCTTAAAGCCTGCCAGTCAGTGGGCACTGAGATGCATAAAGCTCGCCTGCTAGCCATGGCTTTGTCCTCCACCGTGCCCCAGAATCCTGCAAAGGATAAAACCTGCTTTGGATGTAGCAAAGTGGACCATTTTCGTGCGCAGTGCAGATCTACCGCACAGCAATGTCACTCCAGCACAAAGTGCCCCGTCTTTGATACAGGCCAGGACTTGTCAATTTTCTGAAGCACATCTTAGATCACATATTGGTCACCCTGGTTATTTGGCAACAGGAATTTTACGCCTGCTGAACTTCATTTCTGGAAGGAAGAAATATTGCAGTGTCCTTTAGTGTCTTACAGGTTGCTTCCAGATCCACAGTGGAAGGGTCCAACTTCTTTGATTTCTTGCGTTCGACCTTGGCGCTCTTCTGTTGCCTCGTCTTTGCCCAAGGAGACACCAGCACCTTGAAACCGTATTTTACGCTGTTTGCCGGTGATGACCTCTCACCTGACCTCAACCCGCATTGCAGTTGGAGACATCGCCATATTGATGTGCCCTGGATAAAGTCACCTTCCACAGCTGTTCCAGTGTTTCCTGGCACGTTGAAAGACCATCTTCATCTCCACCGCATTGGCCCCCCTTTCTCTCTGGGAAGCCACTTCAACCATCAAATATCATTACCGTTTTGTTGCCTCTTGTTTGGGAAGTGAGCCTGGCTTTGAAGGATGCCCTCGCCGGACCGGCATCGCTTGGATTTTACCCCCCAGATCTCTTCTTCTTTTCTCCCCCCTCAGGATTCCTGCCCTATGATGTATTCCCCTGAGCATGTACAGAGGGCTGTCTTGGAACTATTGTGGACTCTTGGCAAGGGAGGGGGTGAGGGATTTCAGTGTGTTCCAGTTGTTTCATTCTTGTGCTTTGGCATGGTTCCCGGACAGAAAGCAAGTTGCAATATGGTTTTTTAACAAGGCCTGCGAAGACAATGGCCTCTGTTCTCGACCTTGTTGCAATCTTTTTAGTTACAGCAAGCAGCATATGCTTAGCTACTGCCTTTTAGCTGCTGAGAAAAATGATTTTGAAAAGCTCTGAGAAGTTTTGAGCTTGTTTTAGTGGTGGTATTCCAGTAAATGCTTCATTTAAGATTAGAAATAATATGAAGGACAATCGTATAAGTTTATCGCCTGTGTTTTGTTGCTTGCAGAAATAGTGTCTTATTGTTTTCGTTTTAATCATAATAGCAATAACTTTTTAGGTCATTATCCATATTGTAATTGGACCTATGAGTATTTTGATGGATTTTTTTTATTATTAGTTTTTTTAATGTTACCACTATGAGTGATAGGCCAAAAGTCTCAGTTAATAATGTCACAACCTACATGACCTATGAACAACAAGCTGCGTGTAGAGACTTTTATTGGACTGGATGAGAAAGAGCAGCAGAACTACATGTTTGCTTCAATCTGATTTATGGTTATTTTGTGGCACACGTGCCTACAAAGAAATCCCCTCTGCCTTTTCTGGTACCTGCACGTTAGGTATAGTAGTACCCTTGGTGTATAAAATAGATAAGCTCCCAGCGGTCCGTTTGCGTAACAGAAGGGAAGTACTATCACCTATTTCTCAATATACAGGGACAGCCATCTCTAGGTCCCTTCTGCCTTCTTTAGGTGCAGCCATGAATTACCGTGATTTGCATAAATTGGCAAACTGGACAGAAAATTTGTTTAATTCCACCATTTTGGCTTTAAAAATGATTAACAAAGAAATATCAGAAATAAGAAATGTAGTTCTTCAACATCATTATGCTTTAGATGTGATCCTTGCTTCTAAAGTTGGAATTTGTGCCTTAATTCATTCTCATTGCTGCATGTATATAACTGATCAATCGACCAATATCTCTGCTACTATTGATCATATGGAACAAATGATAGCCCATAATCCTTTGAATCCACCTGAAGGTTTTGATCCATGGGAGTGGTTGTCTTCTTGGTTACCTAATGGATTATGGTTAAGAAAAATATTATTGATTGTAATTGCATGTATTGCTGGCTTCATTATGGTGTGTTGTTGCATTCAATGCATACCCTCTTTGATTTCCCAATGCACTGCATGGTGGTACCGACCACGGCCCACCACAGGGGTTACAAGAGGAATTTATGTTGCAAAGTGTAGACGCTTAGGCAATGAAGTGTACGATTTGGACTAATGGTCCCTCTTTTCCTCTAATAATATAAACAAGAAAAGGGGACATGTGGGAAAATGATTGCTTGTACATGAGAGCATGAGCAAAGTTCTTATTGTTACAGGGTGATTTCATAGCTAGAAGCATCCTTGGAGCATGAACAGCGCGTGAACAGCTCGTGCTGTCCTATATGATTGGCTAACGTGGCATGGCCTGATGCTCGCATAGTCTAGTGCGAAGGTCCTTATCTGCTTGCTAGAACAAATTGCTTGGCTTGTATTTTGTATCTTTCTGATTTCACACAATAAAAGCTGTGCTGCATTAGCCCTAAGAGCAGCTATATTTCGGAACCTATTATGGTGTGAGACTGATTTTTCTTTGGATGCCGAGCTGCAACTCGACAAGAAACGTCTTGCAAGTTTGTTTCCTTTTTCTTAACACCGTTAATACAGTTGCGACTTGACTTCGAGGAGCAACTCATAGAACGCGGTGTGGTAGCCTTTTTTGAGGCTTTTAAAGACTTTGATGATTTTTGAAGCTTTTCAAAAACTTTCCCGACACCGTGCTTCGCAAGAGGAAAAAAATCGCAAGACGACAAAACTCGCGGAACGAATTAATTTCGTCTTGCGAGGCACCACTGTATGTATGATGTTTCTGGGGGTGGTCTTGATCTACAGGGTGGCAATTTCAAAAGTCTTTATAAGGACTTGCACACCATTTTTCTGGGTTCCTCCTCCTCTCCTGTAGGTGAGGGGAGCACCCTGTTGCAACAGATGAATAAAGATCAAGCTTACTAGTTGCTTTGCTTCTCAATATTCTCTGGTTGGCCTCTGTTATTCTCTCATACCAATAGGGAACCTATGTAAGGACTCTATATGGGCTCTTGGAGGTGAGGACAGGTGACCCCACCTAGGCCCGAAGTCACCCCCCCCCTAAAGCAGGCTCAAAGCTTTTCAAAATCATTTTTCTCAGCAGCTAAAAGGCATTAGCTAAGCATCAGAAACATTTCGCTCTGCTGTAACAAAGGTCGCTTCTCAGGCTATAGTTGACCTTGCCAAACAGTACATTTGACTTGCAACTTTCTTTCCGAGAACTATGCCAGAACAAGAGATTGAAACATATCTGAACACTCTGAAACCCCTTGGCTTCTCACACAGACCCCTTTCCCAAGACAGCTTTCTGTTCATGCTCAGAGGAACTCATGGGCAGGACTCCTGGAAAAGGAGGAGAAAGGGGGAGGGAACTGGAAGGGTATATAAACTCTGTGCACATGACTGTGAACCCGTGCATGCTTTTTGTGAGTTATCACACTTGCTCCTTCTACCAGTTCATGGATGGTAGAAATAAAGCTTTTTCTCTGAAACTATTCCTTGAGTGTCTGTTGACTCCCACTTTCTTTTCCCGGGTACAATATTTTCCCCACCCGAGGGCAAAGCCTCATAAGGCTACATTTTCTGTGATGTATGTATGATGTTTCTGGGGGTGGTCTTGATCTACAGGGTGGAAATTTCAAAAGTCTTTATAAGGCCTTGTGCGCCATTTTTCTGGGTCCCTCCTCTCTCCTGCAGGTGAGGGGAGCACCCTGTTGCAACAGATGAATAAAGATCAAGATTACTAGCTGCTTTGCTTCTCAATATTCTTTGGTTGGCCTCTGTTATTCTCTCCTACCAATAGGGAACCTATGTAAGGACTCTATATGGGCTCTTGGATACCCCATAAGGGAAAAGGGCAATTTTTGTTTACAACACCTGCCAAGTGGTGCCAGAAATCGCGTCTGCGCAGGTGTGATTTTCAGAGTCTGGACATGCGCAGAAGCGATTTCCGGCGTTGCACTGCGCCAGTCTGGCCCATGGACAATCTCCGTGGGAGCGATCCGGCCCATGGCCGGTAAACCTTGCTGACCCCTGGTGTACGCACTGCTGAGTTAGGTGGACCAGTGTCATGATATGGTGTAATGCGCCATTCCTGTGTTTCAATAATGCAACCTCGCAGGGCTGTCGTAAGGATTACCAAAAGCTGAATGCACGTGACGCACCACATAAGCGATGGCGACACAAAGGCCTCTTAACATCATTAGGATTATTCCAATGGGGAAATGGAAGGCGTTAAGTTCTTGCCCCTTCCTCCCGCAGGTGCAGATGTGCGGTACGTGGACATGAAGTACCTGACGGGAGGCATCTTGCACACCAAGCTATGGGTGGTGGATCGGAAGCACATCTTTGTGGGCAGCGCCAACATGGACTGGCGCTCCCTCACTCAGGTACCTCTGGGCGTCGTGGGTGGAACACGTTCAAGAGCATGGGCAGGGGACGGCTGCGCATTGGAAGCATCTGAGGATGTGCTCTGGGGATTGTCAACGGGGTGGAGACTCTCACAACCCACAAAACAATTGTCAGGGTCAGGCACTCTCTTGGGCCCACGCTTTTGCCCATCGGACCGGGGGGGGGGGCAGGCTGGCTTTCTTGCTAGCAGTGGCAGAAGCCATCAACAGTTCCTGAGCAACGCTAGGGCTGCTTCAAGACCCCCGGGAGCTATGGACCCAGTTCTGTGCAACTCTCTCCTGGCTGAGATCAGGCAGGTCCTTTCTCCCTGTTGAACTTCAGGCGCTTGGTCAGAAGACTTTTTTTAAAAAAACCACCTCTCCGCAGTCATTAGAAATACGTATTCTGATTTTATTTTTTATTGTATCGATTTCACAAATTTATATACTGTACCACTCGATTATAAGAAAACCTCAAAGCTGTTAACAAAAATAAGAAAAGAATAAAACTCAGTACAAAACAGCTAATAATAACAATTAGAAACAGTTAGAAAATGAAAATTAACATTCTAACTGTCTGGATAGGCTTGCCTAAACGAAAATATATTTTAGCAAGTGCCAAAAAGGCCACAGTGAAGGTGCCTGCTTTATGGTAAAGTTTAACAGGCTCTTTGTTGTATTGTTTGTTAATCTGAGAGACTACGATGTCATATAGTACATAAATCATTGAAATATAACAACGATGATTAACATTTTAAATTGCTACAATGCGCCAGAGCAATACTGCACCAGGGGCATGGTGGGTAATTAAAATGGCCGCTGGATTCAGCTGCTTGGGACTTCTCAGAGCATCAGTCCACAGAGGGGGCGATTTAAAGAGGGCAGGTTTCTGCGAAGAGCCCCACCTGATTTCTAGGGCTGATGCTGGCTCTACACTTCATAGAGCATTTTTGCCAAACAGGTGCAGGTCGATGCAACTTGAGAAAATAAAAAATGTTCCAGGTGCAATGTGGGGCTGGTGAGGGGTGTACCCTGAGGCCCAGACAGAGGGGCTGTCTTTTGTCCTTAAGCCCAGTCTCCCCATACCTTGGGGCTTAGCCTAGACAGACAGACAAATCTCCTAAGGTCCTGCTCACCTGGTTCCTTCTATCTTACAGGTTAAAGAGCTGGGCGCTGTGCTGTACAACTGCAGCTGCCTAGCTAGGGACCTACACCGAATCTTTGCCATATATCACATCCTGGGGAAAGATGGGGCCTCCATCCCGTCCAAGTGGCCGGCGGACCTGGCTGCCAAGTCTGGCCTGACTCATCCCCTGAAGCTGCAGCTGAATGACACCGGCGGTCAGCTGTATCTTTCTGTAAGTTGGGTCGGGGTGGAGAATATTTTTTGGCCCGCAGGCTGAATTTCCACACTGGGTGGATGACAGATGTGGCTCTTCCCTTTGCACAGTAGGCTACATTCCGGCCTATCAGGGATCCCAGGACCCTCAGCCTCACTGGCCTACACCCACAAAGTAGCTGTGTCTCTATTTCTTTCTTCTTTTTCTGCCACCAGTTATCCCCAAATGCTTTGAAACTTCCTAGTAACGTTAGTCTTGGAGCCGTCAGAGACAGGATGAACTTGAACTGGGTTTATTATTAAAACTGACTCATATACAGGGCACTCAGAGGTGGCGGTTGGCAGTTTCTGTAGACTTGAGAACTTCTGCTACTAACACAAACCTCCAGGTGGCTTTTTCCCTCAAGCAAAATTTCCTGGTCCTCCATGCCGGCCAATTACTTCCATACCTCCCTTCTCCAACTGCCTCTTTTTACAGTTAAAAGTCAGTCAGAGGTTAGAATTACTTATATTATTGCATTTATACTCCACCAAGGAGCCCGAGGCGGCATGCATGGTTTTATCCTCACAATTTCCCTGTGAGGTAAAGTTAGGCCAAGGGGCATTGACTGGCCCAAGTTAATCCAGTGAGCTTCATGGCTGAGGGTTAGATTTGAACCCAAGTCTCCCGGGTCCTAGTCGGACAACTCTAACCATTACACCACACCACCAGGCGGGAGTATTACGAGAACAACTCCCTATCCATTTTCTTCACACCACGTATCATTTTAACACTTCTGCCAGATTCTACTGTCCCTTTCTTGATTTTTCCGAAACTAAACAGCCTCAAATGCTGTATGTTGCTCAGGCCCCTTGATTTGCCCCCTCCTCCTCTTCTGCCCCCTTCGAAGCTCTCTGATTTTGTGGTTCCAGAGCTCTCCACCGGCCCTCTGCTCCTCAGGCAGAACCTCTGATCTCACCGCCATTTTGAGCACCATTGAGGATGCTGAAGACTTTGTCTACATTGCTGTGATGGACTATGAGCCCCAGTGCACATTCTGCAAACCAAAGAGGTAGGGCGAAAAGGGACCGAAAAGGCACATAAAAATCTGAACCTAATAAGTGATAAAGGCATAAGGGGAAGGGGCCACAGCTCAGCAGTGGAGCACCTGCTTTTAATGCAGAATGCCACAGATTCATAGAACGGTCAACTTGGAAGGGAGCCTGAGGATCATCTAGTCCAACCCCCTGCAATGCAGGAATACGCAGCTGCCCTATATGGGGATCGAACCTGCATCATTGGCATTTTCAGCGCCGTTCTGTAACGAAATGAGCGATCCAGTTGATAATATCTCCAGGCAGGCTGGGAGCACCCCCGGCCTGAAAACCTACAGAGCTGCTACCAGTCAGTGTAGACAATACTGAGCTAGATGGACCAGATGGTCTGACCCCTTATAAGGCATCTTCCTGTTTTCCTAAAGCTAAAGTTGGCCATGCCTATTCCCTTCAATGGGTCTACCCTGAGTGGAACTTGCCCTGGACACAAGCTTATTGTATTTTAGTATTTTGTTGGAAGCCGTCCAGAGTGGCTGGGGAAACCCAGCCAGATGGGCGGGGTATAAATTTTATTATTATTATTATTATTAAGCTTTAGAGTGGCATATATCTGCTCTGGAATTCAGATGTTAATGGAAAATGGCCCGTTAGGACTGTGTTCACACATCATACATCTAAAGCCCATTCTCTGTCCCCAAGAATCCTGGGAACTGTAAATTGTTAAGGGTGCTGGGAATTGTAGCTTTCTGTGGGGTAAACTATAGTTTACAATGAATTCTTTGGGGGGGGAATCATGGGCTTTCAATGTATGCAGCTTTAGCCGCTTTGTAGGGACACCACCAGCTTTGGGTTTCCAGGGACTAAAGGACTCCTCGTTCCCTATATAATAATGCTGTTGCACTTGGCTTGGCACTCCCAGGTTCTGGCCGGTCATTGATGACGCTCTGCGCACTGCGGCCTGCGAAAGGCGGGTGAAGGTGCGTCTCCTCATCAGCTGCTGGAAACACTCGCATCCCGCCATGTTCGTCTTCCTGGATTCGCTCAGAGTCCTCAGCTACGAACCTCTGCATTGCCCCATTGAAGTGGTGAGTCTGGGAACTAGAGAGAACAAGCAGACAGGCCTGCTTGGATGCAAGCTGTTTGACGCCCTTAGGTGCTACCTCCACTGTCAGAGCCGGCAAGCTTGCAAATGACAGTGACTGGGAACTGCAGGAGGGGAGAATTACTGTTTGGCTCAGGTCTTGCTTGTGGGCTTCCTGCAGGCATCTGGTCGGCCACTGTGAGAACTAGCGTGCAATAAAAAGGTTGCCTGGAGGAGCCCTGGGGAAGGTCCTAGTCTGAAGCGCTAACCCAGAGCTTGCCAAGCAGCTGGGTTTCCAGCTGTTTTTGGACTACAGTTCCCATCATCCCTGACCACTGGTCCTGCTAGCTAGAGATGATGGGAGTTGTAGTCCAGCAACAGCTGGAGCCCCAAGTTTGTGGAAATTCTGTTCTAACCGCTACACCGCAATGGGCTCCACTCTCTTAACGGTGTTAGTCAGGTTCAGAAAGCTGCAGGAATCCAATTCAGAATCTGGAGTGCCAGAATTATAGGAACGTAGAACTTGGGACGCGGGTGGCGCTGTGGGTAAAAGCCTCAGCGCCTAGGGCTTGCCGATCGAAAGGTCGGCGGTTCGAATCCCCGCGGCGGGGTGCGCTCCCGTTGCTCGGTCCCAGCGCCTGCCAACCTAGCAGTTCGAAAGCACCCCCGGGTGCAAGTAGATAAATAGGGACCGCTTACTGGCGGGAAGGTAAACGGTGTTTCCGTGTGCTGCGCTGGCTCGCCAGATGCAGCTTTGTCACGCTGGCCATGTGACCCGGAAGTGTCTCTGGACAGCGCTGGCTCCCGGCCTCTTGAGTGAGATGGGCGCACAACCCTAGAGTCTGTCAAGACTGGCCCGTACGGGCAGGGGTACCTTTACCTTTACCTTTTAGAACTTGGGAAGTGAAGGTTTGAACTCAAGCCTCTAAGGCAGGGGTCAGCAAACATTTTCAGCAGGGGGCCGGTCCACTGTCCCTCAGACCTTGTGGGGAGCCAGACTATTTTTTTGGGGGGGGATGAATGAATTCCTATGCCCCACAAATAACCCAGAGATGCATTTTAAATAAAAGCACACACTCTACTCATGTAAAAATACGCTGATTCCCGGACCGTCCAGGGGCCGGATTTAGAAGGTGATTGGGCTGGATCCGGCCCCCGGGCCTTAGTCTGCCTACCCATGCTCTTGGGCTTAGCCCAACGCTCTAACCTCCACACTAGGTGTGAGGAACCTTTGGCTCTCCGGATGCTGCTGAACTACAACTCCCATCATTCCTGGCAAATTGGCCTTGTTTGCTGGAACTGATGGGTGTTGTAGTTCAGCAGCATCCAGAGGCTCAGAAGGCTCAATGCACCAAACAGGACCTACCCAATTGGGCCAGTTTGCAAAGAAGTGAACAGGCCTTACCTCTGGCTCCTGGTGGGGTGCAGAACCAGAGGAGGCCTCTCCCACTAGTGGTAGCAGTAGGCAACTTTTTTCTCCTTTCAGAAACTCTTTGTCGTTCCCTCGGAGGGAGAGCAGCCACCGATCCCTTATGCGCACGTCAATCACAACAAGTACATGGTGACCGACAGAATCGCCTACATTGGTATGTAGACCTTGTCTGCATTTTATGGCTCTGTCCCTAACAGTTCCATGATGGGGCGGCCAGGGCCAGTGGCGTAGCGTGGGTTGTCAGCACCCGGGGCAAGGCAAGTAATTTGCGCCCCCTAGAGTGAGTGAGCCAGGTAGGGGCAGAGAGCTGCGAGTGCGAGCGTGCCCCCCCCCAGATGTTGCGCCCGGTGCGGCTGGCCCCCCCTGCACCCCCCACGCTACGCCACTGGCCAGGGCTTCCGCTTAGATGTCCTTTGAAGTCCCTTCCAACTGATGATTCTAAGCTAGCACAGTGGTCCCTCGGTTTTCAAACGTCTCTGTTGACAAATGTTTCAGAAATCGAACAGCAAAAACCCGGAAATGAATGCTTCCATTTTCGAACATGCCTCGGAAGTTGAACGACTTCTGCTGCGTGTTTCTCAATTTTCTCAAGGAAATTTGCAGACCGCCCGTTGCACCTTGGTTTTCAAATGTTTCAGAACTCAAACGGTCTTCCAGAAAGGATTACGTTCAAGAACCGAGGTGCCACTGTATCTATTTTGCTTTGGGGCAGGGCAGGGAGGGGCTGGAGAATCTCACCTTAGCGCCACAAAATTCAAAGATGCATTTGGCATAATGTGAAGTTTGATCCTCCTTCTGTGGCATAAACCGGGTTGCTCGCCTTGCTCTGCTGTTCTGCCTCTCTGGACCCCCATCCTTGCTCTTCTCTGCTTCCCTGAGTAGGAGGAAGTCAAAGGGGCAGTTTTAGAAGGTCCACTTCCTTGTCAGAGAGTTTAAAGGTGCCTTTGGTGGCAAACTGTTGCTGTACCTCAAGGCTGTAGAAGTTCAGATCTGTGGACCCCAATGTCCACTGTTATTATGAATTAGATTTATTAGTTTCTTCTCCCCAAGGGTCTCTAATCATTACCATTATTGTTGTTTATTAAATTTGTATACCACCCTATACTTGCAGGTCTCTTATATTGTGATAAAATCACAATATAAAATCACAAAATACAGTGGTACCTCGCAAGATGAATGCCTCGCAAGACAAAAAACCCGCAAGACGAAAGGGTTTTTTCGTTTTTTGAGCTGCTTCGCAAGACGATTTTCCCTATGGGCTTGCTTCGCAAGACGGAAATGTCTTGCAAGTTTGTTTCCTTTTTCTTAACACCGTTAATACAGTTGCGACTTGACTTTGAGGAGCAACTCATAGCACGCGGTGTGGTAGCCTTTTTTGAGGTTTTTGAAGACTTTGGTATTTTTGAAGCTTTTGCAAAACTTTCCCGACACCGTGCTTCGCAAGACAAAAAAAATCGCAAGATGGTAAAGCTCGCGGAACGAATTAATTTTGTCTTGCGAGGCACCACTGTACATAATGAAAACACAAACAACCCAATAATCCCGCCCCCCTAATACATTTTAAAAGGACATTGGATGTCAATCAGCCAAAGGCAACTTGACCCAGCCCATGAATGTCCCCAAAGCCACCTCCTAGCCCGATTCCTCCCCTTTGGATTTTTCAGACACCCAAGCGCCCAGGAAGTCCCTAATCTGCTGCGCATTTGTGTGTGTTTCCCTCTTCGCCAGGTACCTCCAACTGGTCTGAAGATTACTTCACCCGCACTGCAGGCGTCGGTCTGGTCGTCAACCAGAGTGAGGCCTCTGCAGGAGCCCCGGGACAAACCCTGCGCCAGCAGCTGGAGAAAGTGTTTATCCGGGACTGGGACTCTCCCTACGTTCAGCCGCTCAGCAAACACTGGGAATGTTCGAGGAAGTGAGGGCGGAGGGTGGACCATTCCACTCCCTGCCTGGAAACAGGTTCAGGGCTCAGCCTCGCTCTGACCCCTTGACCTGGAAGCACTCCTTTCAACATCCTGCAGTTTAGAAGCTCTTGCCTTGGTGCCCCTGCTCCTGCGCTTGCGTCCCGGAGGAATCTGGCCAGCAGGCATTGTTGGGGGTGGGGGGAAAGGAAGCTGGACTCTTTGGGTCATCCGTCCGACCCAGAGCGGTTGCTTCTGAAACTCCTAAGCAGCCGCTCATTCAGTTGGTGGAAGTGAGGAACAGCTACAGCTGCTTGGCCACCAGAGCTGGAGCGCTCTAGCGCATGCCTAGGGAACCTGCGGCCTTCCATATGCTGCTTAACTCCCATCAGCCTCAGCACACCCAACTCACTGCAAGGGATGATGGGAGTTGGAGTCCAGCAGCATCTCAACAGGTTCCTCACTTCCCCACTAGGGTGGGACGAGCTGCAGCTAACAGCAGAAATGTGAACTTAGGGTGGGAGGAGTAGGGCAGGAAGGGGGTTGTAGCCGCCTCCCAACTCCCTGTTTACATGAAAGATGGGGGAGCCTGCAGTTGCCCACCTCCCATGTTGATGGACTTCACCACCCATCATCCCTGACCATTGGCCATGCCAATGGGAGTTGGAGTCCAGCAAAACCTGGAGGGCCACCAGTTGGCCACCCTTGCTTTACAGGAGGAGTGGGGGGGACCTTGGTCCTGGGGGCCAAATGTGACCGTCTGGACATCTCTGGCCATCTGCTCCCCAGGTGGCATCCCTCCCTGGCCCTGCTCTCAGGCCTTTCCCCCAGGAATTGTGGCTCCACGGTGATAATGCATCTTGCTGGCCTGGGTGGAGGATGGAGAGGCATGTGCCTGGAACACAGCCTAGTTACCGTATTTTTCGCTCTATAAGACGCACCTTTTCCCTCCTAAAAAGTAAGGGGAAATGTGTGTGCATCTTATGGAGCGAATGCAGGCTGCGCAGCTATCCCAGAAGCCAGAACAGCGAGAGGGATCACTGCACTCCCTCTCGCTGTTCTAGCTTCTGGCTTAGCCGTGTGCAGCCTCTTCAGGGCAGCGGGGAGCCTTCATCCCGCTGCCCTAAAGAGGCTGCACAGCTATCCCAGAAGTCATACAGGCTCTGCTCAGTGCTCCCTTTAAAGAATATTTTTCTTCTTGCATTCCCCGTCTAAAAACTAGGTGCGTCTTATCGTCGGGTGCATCTTATGGAGCGAAAAATACAGTACGAATATCAGAGGCTGGCCCATTAGGGCAAATGGGGCAACCTCAACTTTCCCTTACCTGCCTGCCTTCTTACTTACAGCCAGTCCAGGGAACAGCCCTGCCTATCATCTTCCTCCAGTGTAGCCTCAGTGTTGTAAAACTCAGCAGGGAGGAAGACGAGGATGTGACTAAACTGGAATGGTGGGTTCAAGCTGTGACATTGGTCTGGCTTCACTGTTGGGCTCCTTTGCCTTCCACCTCCCCAGTCCCAATGGGCACCAGCCACCGCTGTGGACAAAGCTAAGAGCCACATCTGTCTCTCCAACCACATTTTTTACAGCCCCCTTCCATTCACCACTGGCCCGTGGCCCCGAGAAGGCAACGTGTAATGCTGCCCCACCAGCCTGCCTTTACAGAGACGGATGTTTACATTCCAATATTTCTTTTCGTTTGCTTGCTAGCTTGCCAAAGTTTTCCAGTTGCCCAGTTGGCAGAGAATGGCACTGCCTTCTGCCTCGCTCTCTCCTTGCTGCTTGACCCAAACAAGGTCACATCTGTACCCTCCGTCTAAAGCAGGCGTAGGCAAACTCGGCCCTCCAGATGTTTTGGGACTACAATTCCCATCATCCCTGACCACTGGTCCTGTTAGCTAGGGATGATGGGAGTTGTAGTCCCAAAACATCTGGAGGGCTGAGTTTGCCTATGCCTGGTCTTAAAGCATTCTCTTAGTCGTGGCTTCCCCCACAGAATCCTGGAAATTGTGGTTTATTAGGTTTTGCTTATCAGCTCTTAGAACACTTTATGAACTACACTTCCCAAGATTCTTTGCGGGAGGCATACCTGTTAAAGCGGTATGAGAGTACCTTGGAATGTACTGGAGCATTTGAAATGGGTGTAGATAAGCTCTGAAGGGAGGGGGCTGCTGGGACTCAAGTAAGAAGATTAGCTGCCTTCCTGCAGGTATTTTTATTCTAGGGGCATGGCTGTCTGTATATGTATGTGTGTGCATCTTTCAAAGATATATCTTAGAAGTGCAGCTATGTATAGGTTTGCTAAAGGGATGATGATGTTGCTTTTTTTACGTTGTATATCTCCTATAAGGGAAGAGGATCAGCAGGGAATCAATGCAGGGAAATCAACTAAAAATCAGAAAATGGGTAAATCAGCCAGAAGTCAGATATCAGCTGGAAATAAATGATGAGGCAGGGAAATCAGCTGGAAATTAGAAATCAGTATGACAGGGAAAGGGTCCTCAGGTAGGTTTATTTTGGGGGGAAATTAACTCAGGGAGCATGTTTGAGTTGGGGAGTTATGTGCCTTAAGCTGCAATCTTGTTTACTCAGAAGTAAGTCCCACTGAGTTCAATAGAACTCCCATGAAAATTGCTGTGGAATTGCAGCCTAAACGTATATGAGCTTTAAGCAGTGTGTGAGACAGTTCACCCTCTTTGGGGATAGGGAAATGCTTGGGCTTGGGTTGGGTTGGGGCTGGAGTTGCATTCTTAGCAGAATTTATTTTTGATATTACAAGTGTTTTTAATAAAGAAGTCAAATTTTGTTTGTGTCTTTTCATTGACTGCACATCCAACCAGTTTTTAAATTCTCAATATAATCTAAAGAGTGCAAGCCATGCTTCTGGTTCTTTATGGAGTACAAGAAGGCAGGTCTCTGCCCTGGGGAGCTTACAGTATAAAATGTGAGGCAGAGGTAAGGGACGGAAGTGGAGGCAGGAAAAAAAGGGAAGCAGTATGCTGGGTGTGGAGAACATTTGGGCCCTCCAGGCATTGCTGAACTACAGCTCCCATCAGCCTCAGCAAGCATGGCCAATGGCCAGAGATGATGGGAGTTGTAGTCTAGCAACATCTGGAGGGCCAGAGTTTCTGATACTGTACCTGCTGCCCTGGACTCCTTTGGGAGGAAGGGCAGGATACAAATGTAATAAATAATATGCAGTGACCTATTTATTGAACATTCATCCTGATGCATTTGCAAGGAGGCTAGACAATGTTCATTCTGATTTGCTGACAGAAGGTGGTTTACAGCAGGGCACGGGGAGTTTAGGGGATTGTGCCAAGGCTTCATAGAAAAGGTGGGTTTTGAGGAGGAATTTGAAGGAAGTGCTTTGGTCTTTGCCAGCTGAGATGTATTTTGCTAGGACCCACCCTATTCTTGTAGGATTGCAATTTGTTTTAAACTGTGTTTAACATTTTGTTTTAATTTGTTCTGACCTGCCCTGGGATGGTACGATGAAGGGCGGGTAATAAATTGTATTATTAATAATAATAATAATAATAATAATAATAATAATACAGGAGGTATCTCATGGGCATTTGGGGAGTGTCAGACATATGGAGAAAAGAGCACTTACAGATGGTAATAATCTCTGGGTTTAAACTACCTCACAGGGTTGTTGTGAGGATAGAACAGGGAAAGGAGGAAAGCATCTATGCTGTCTTGAGCTTTGTGGAGGAAAAGTGGAATATAGATGTAATAATGAACAGCGATAATATGAAAACAACAGTATGATGACATAGCTTAGTAGAGCAAGACACTCTAAATCTCCGGGTTGTAGGTTTGAGCCCCATGTTGGGCAAAAGATTATTTCATTGCAAGGGGTTGGCTTAGATGACCCTCATGGTCCTTTCCAACCCTACAATTCTATGACAAATAAAAATACACACACAAAATAAAAAGTGAGTAAAAGCAGCTGCTGAAACCAGTTTGTTGCTCATTGTTTCCAACAAGTTAAAAGCAATCCATTAAAAAAAAAAACACCCTTGGATACATAGCTCTGGTAACGGGCAGACAGCCTCCCTCGAAGCACAGGGAAATTACAGGTAGCTCTCATAGGACGCTGCTGAGTCAGATGACTGGTCCACCTAGGTGTTCAGTGTTACAAGCACTGACTGGCAGCAGCCTTCCAGGGTTTCAGACAAGGAATCTCTTCCAGCCCTACCTAGAGATGGCAGGATTTGAACCTGGGACCCTCTGCATGAAGAGCAGGTGCTCTGTCGCTGAGCCATAGCCCGCCACCCCCTAAGCAAGGGAACCTATGGCTCTCCCATCAACCCCAGTAAGCATGACCCAAGGCAAGAGATGATGGGGACTGTGAGTGGCTACTAACCATACAGTACTGGCTATGTTCTCACTCCAGCGTCAGAGACAGCATATGTCCCTGAATACCAGGCTAGCTGGCCCACTGGCCTGATCCAGCTGTAAGACCCTTCTTATGTTCTGATGTCTAGCAAACGTCTATGGAAAGAGCCGCCGCCCTCCCCCGTACGCCTATACACATCCCACTATGGGAGAGCCCTGTGCACCCGCCATGACACTATAGGCACTGACTTCGACCGCTGAGGCGCACGCGCAGGCGAGCAACGTTCCCCTCCCCTGTCCCGGCAGCTTCCTGTTTGCTTCGTTAGGCGGCGATGGAATCCTGTCGCCGCGCAGCCAATCAGGACGAAGCTGCCTTGCAACATTTAGAACGCGCGGTGCCTCTGCGTTCCTTCCGGTCTCGAAAAGAGAGGTGCGGACGCGCGCGTGCGCGCAGGCGGCCAGCAGGATGTTTTACCATGTGAGTATTTTTTTTTATTACTGGGGAGTCTTAGATTTTAGCTCCTTTGCTACCCAGGCACCCCACGTGGGACGTGAAAGATGTGGTCGCGGGGGCAAATGAATGATGTGCAACATCAAGGTGGTATTCTGGCCCTTCCGTCGTCATGTAGTCTTGGAATAACTCAGTCGGTAGAGCAGGAGACTCCTAATCGCAGGGCTGTAGGTTTGAGCCCCACTTGGGCAAAAGATTCCTGCATCGCAGGGGGTTGGTCTAGATGATCCCCGTGGTCCCTTTCCCGCTTTCCAGCTCTAGGATTCTATGTTTGTTGCAATCTGAGGAGTTCTCTCAAATGTCGGTGGCACCCAGTTGGAAGAGGAAGAGATCTTGGACAAGGGAGATCAAACGCAGCGCTGCTACTTGCAGGTGCTATGCAGCCGAGTTCTACTTAGGGTAGACCTGTTGAAATGAATGGCCCTAACCTAGTCTTGTTCCCGGATTTCAGCAAGTCTGCCCTGAACAGAACCTTGACTACCCCACAGCAGCCCAGCACTGTTTTGTGACTATTAGCATTAGAGTTTTTTTTGAAAATGTATAGGATTTTATTTATTTATTGCAGTTATATCCCACCCCCATCGTTCAGCCCGGACATTGAGGTCCAGCTCCAAGGGCCTTCTGGTGGTTCCCTCACTACAGATGTCAAGAAAATAAACAACCTTTAGAAGACATCTGAAGGCAGCCCTGTTTAGAGAAGTTTTTAATGTTTGATGTTTTATCGCTTATTATTATTACTATTATTATGTTGGGAGCCACCCAGAGTGGCTGGGAAGACCCAGCCAGATGGGTGAGGTATTATTATTATTATTATTATTATTATTATTATTATTATTATTATATCTCCTCCAGAACAAGGTGGCATAGGTGACTCTCCCCCATCTCATTTAATTCCCTTAGGCTGAGAAGCAATGAGGTCCGTGGCCAAGTAGGGATTTAACCCCTGGTCTCCCAGGTAGTGATCTGACAGTCTAACCACAACACCACTCTAGCTCTCATATCATCCTGGATCATCAGAAACGGCTCTGTCACTCTATTGACTATGATGGCAAATGGAGTCTCCCTTGTCCACAGACATTATATCTCTGAAGTCATTGCTGTGGACACACATCAGGTGGCAGTTGCATCTGGCTGGCTCCCTGTTGACA